CGGCCGCAGCAGTAGAGGCAACAGAGGGCAAGAGAGGAGAGGGGGAGCACCCCTCGAAGACATGGGCACGAGGGTCACCACGAGAGGCTCCTACGGCAACTATGCTCTTCTCTGCAGCTAGGAGGCGCTCCTCCAGGAGGTCAACGGTAAGGGTGGTGGGGCAAACAGAGAGGAAGTGGTCCCTGACCGGGGGAAGGGTGTCAGAGAGCCGGATGACTATGTAGTAGAGGGTGATGTACATAGGGGGGGGGGGTTCTTGGCGCAGAACTCAGCGGGAAGGGCAGCGCGGTAGCGAATGTCACTAGTGCGAAGGTGCGTAATGAGGTCAGCGACTGTGGGAAAAGCAGCGAGGTCAGGGAAGAGGTACGGCAGGATGAGGCGGCTAAGTGCAGCAGTGGCAGGGGAAGAGTAGCGTGCGACTACAGCGTCGTACAAGGTCCTAGCACTCTGATACTGGCTAAAGTGTGCACGCTCAGAGGTAGGCAAGTGGCGACGCACAGCAAGACGTGCAGCAGCATCGCGTGTGGCCCACTGTGAGCGAACAGTGGCGTCATCATCAGCAGCAGGGGCAGGAGAGGCACCAGAAGTGAGGTCAAAGAGGGAGAGACCGTCTGCCCTATCGCACTGTAGGAAAAGCTGCAGGTCATCTACCCAGACGTGAAAGTCAATGGCCCGACCCTCAGCGTCAAAAGCGAGGACGCTGGGGGTAGCCATGACTGCAGTAGACTCGCAGCGCGAGCAGTAGGCTAAGGGCAGCGCAGTGGTAGAGGTGCCGCTCTTACCGAACAGGGCGGCTCGGGCGGCTCTGTGGTTCGGCGGCTCGGCAGCAATTGCAGCTCGGCGGCTCGGGCGGCTCGGGTGGCTCGGCAGCAGCGACGGCTCGGCGGCTCGGGCGGCTCGGGTGGCTTGTGCGGCTCGGCAGCAGCGGCGGCTCGGGAGCACAGCGGCAACGGCGGCTCAGCGGCGCCGGCGGTTTGGTGGTGACGGCGGGGCCGCGTAGGGTGGCAGGGCCGCTGAAGGGACGGCGGCGGGGCCGGGTGGGGCGGCGACGAGGCCGCTCAGGGCGGAGGCAGGGCCACGAAGGGTGGCGACCGGCGCCTTAAGGGTAGGGCCGCGGGGTCGCAAGGGTGGGTCGACGGGGCTAACAGAGGCGGCGCCGGGGACGGAAGAGCGGTGCCGGGGCCGCAAGGGTAGGCGACGGGGCCGCGAGGGTAGGCGACGGGGCCGCGAGGGTAGGCGCCGGGGCCGCAAGGGTAGGCGACGGGGCCGCGAGGGCGGCGTGGAGGGGTCGCTAGGGCGGCTCGAAGAGGCCGCGAGGGCGGCGCGAAAGGGCCGCAAGGGCGGCGCGACGCGACGGGGCCGCGAGGGTGGCGGAACGGGGCCGCGTGGGCGGCGCGACGAGGCCGCGAGGGCGGCGCGACGTGATGGGGCCGCGAGGGCGGCGCGACGGGGTCGCAAGGGCGACTCGACGGGGGCGCTAGGGAGGCGCGACGCGACGGGGCCGCTAAGGCGGCGCGACGGGGTCGTAAGGGCGGCGCGACGGGGTCGTGAGAGGGGAGTGCGACTCGGGCAGAGGCTGAGCGCGCTCCGGGCAGGAAAAAAAAATCGGTGGGCCCTAGGAACAGTTCCCACAGGGGAACCTGCTCTATACCATGTGAAATTGAACGAGGATAAAATACTAAGGGAAAGTTGGGTACAAGTACAAACCCTAGAAAGTTGTACCCCATATGTGCTACCCCACTATAGCCTACAGCAGCTAAGTCATATAAATCTGACCCTGGCGCTGGAGGTGCTAGTTCTGGGGGTGCTGGAGCTGGAGGTGCTAGCGCTGGAGGTGGTAGTTGTGGGGGTGCTGGAGCAAGAGGTACTGGCACTGGAGGTGCTAGTTCCGAGGAGACTGGAGCTGGAGGCACTACTAATGCACCTCCCTACCGCCACGACACACGTCTCCAGGCGGCTCGCCGACGTGAGCGTGAGGAGCAGGAGCGGTTGGACCAAGAGAGGCAGGAGCTACGGCAGTTGGACCTGCAGGAGCAGCAGCAGCAGCGTTCGCCGCAGCCGCCACTTTCCCACCAGTGAGTGGCCTTAGGGCCCTTGGTCTCCCCTCCGCTCCTCCTGTCCACTCACAGTCTCCTATCGCGTACGGCCCTACGTTTCCTCCTCCGGACTCACCTCCGCGCGTTTTCTCTCCTCCTCAGTCAGAGTCGCCTCCTCTTGCTCTCCCGTACGACTAGACCATTCATTGTCCTCCGCGTGCTCGTACCTCCTCTTCTTTTGACAACCTCCGCACTGTCTTGTTTCGTTCTAGTCCCTGTCGTGCTCTGCCTATATCTGTTCTCCCGCCACCTCCTGCGTTGTCTCTCAGTGTCTCCTCTCACCCTATCACTGACTGCTACCATGCTGCTCATCCTGTTGCCTCACGTGTTCTCGCCTCTCTTGTCACCAAACCTCATGCCTCTCCGTCGTCTGTCTCGGCTCTTACTGCCACTGTCGGTGACATTGCTTCCATTCGTCGCCTTGACTTTGCCACGCGTGTAGTGGCTGCTCCGCCTGCACGTCCTCTGTCTGCCGGAGGTGAGTTTGCCCTTGGTTGTGACATCCTAGAGGACAGGCGGTTTGAGTTGGAGTTCTAGGCAGTCGCTTCTCCCTCTCTCTGTGCCATGCTGCTTTCCCCTGAGGGAGACCCCGACGCCCTTGACATTCCGACTCCGCGCACGTATCGTGAGGCAGTGTCAGGGGAGTGGGCCTCTAAGTGGAAAGCGGCTATGGACTCAGAGTTAGCGTCTTGGAGATCCACAGGGACCTACGTCGACACAGTTCCCCCTCCTAGGGCGAACGTTGTCGATGGCAAGTGGCTCTTCAAGGTGAAGCGGCTGCTTGGACCACCGTCTGTTTTCAATGCGCGCTACATGGCTAGGGGTTTCAGTCAGCGTGTGGGAGTTGACTTCTTCCAGACCTTCGCCCCGACTCCGAAGATGACTACTCCTCGGGTGTTACTGCACATAGCAGCACAGCGACACTACGAGTTGCACTCCCTCGACTTCTCCACTGCGTTTCTCCAGGGCCGCCTACACGAGGAGATCTGCATGCGGCATCCTCCTGGCTTCACTGACACCTTCCCACCTGGGACCCATTGGAGCCTGAGGCGACCAGTCTACAGTCTCCGCAAGTCGCCCCGTGAGAGGCACGACACTCTTCGCTCCACGCTTCGTGACCTTGGGTTTCGTCCTTCTTCTGCCGACCTGTCGCTGTTTGTTCGCGCTGGTTCCAGGGTTGGCGACTTGTCAACCCTTAATTCTTTATACTTGTCTACGTCGACGACTTGGTCTTTGCTCTGGCTGAGATGAAGTCCAAACTGCAGAAGACACTCTCGTGCACTGACCTCAGTTAACCGCTACACTATTTTGGCCTGCGGATCACCAGGGATAGAGCCGCTTGCACCATCACACCGACGTAGTCACACATGGTGGAGCAGGTCCTTCGGCGGTTCGAGTTTCAGTTCTCCACCACCCAGCCCACTCCTCTTACTGTTGACCACAGACCCACTGGCCCATTTTCCGACGAGCCATTTGAGTCTAGTGGTCCCTACGCAGAGCTTGTGGGCTGCCTCATGTACCTGATGACTTGTACTCGGCCGAACCTCGCCTTTCCTCTCAGCATCCTCTCTTGTTTTGTTGCGACTCGGAGACACCGTCCTGTTCACTGGATAGCTGCTGTGAGGGTGGCGAAGTACTTGGCGACTACATCAGGCATGGGGCTTGTGCTTAGAGGAACTCAGCCAGTTGAGTTGACCGGTCACTGCGACTCTTCCTACGTTGACGACGTGGATACTCAGCGTTCGACTCTGGGTTACTGCTTTAGCCTAGGTGCTGGTGCTGTGTCGTGGAGGTCTACACGGTCGTCATCTGTGGCTTCGTCTAGTGTAGAGGTAGAGAATTACGCTGTTGTCATGGCGGCACAAGAGCTTCGCTGGTTGACCTTCTTGCTCGCCGATTTTTGTGAGCGGCCTCGCTATGCATAGGCCTCGTATGGTGACAACAAGGCCATGATCCTCCTGTGTTGAGAGCCTCAACTGGAGAGCAGAGTGAAGCACATTGACGTAAGGTACTTTCTCATGCGAGAGTTGCAGCGACGCGGCTAGGCACGCTTGGACTTTGTGGCTTCAAAGGCCAACACTGCCGACGTCTTCACCAAGGCCTTAGCGCCTGGTGACCACCACAGGTTTTGTGTGCAGCTAGGGCTTGTTGAGGTAGGCCCCTCGGTTGCTGTGGTTTTGCTGTTGCTCGGCTTGTTTTGCTTCGCTATATATCACAGTGAACTCTTGAACTGGCCTTGTAGCCGCTTGTTTGTGCTCAGAGTGTGTGGTGACTTTGAGCGCCACCCTGAGCCTTGTTTTGTTGCTTGCTCTTGACTGGTCTTGTGACCATTTGCTGTCACTTGTTTGTATCCTTGATGCCCCTCACTTAGCCCATAAGGGTGTGTCAAACTATAGTAACTCTTGTAGGCTGTAGTGAGGTGCCTTCTAGGGGTACAATTGTTAGGGTTGCATATTTGTATCCCATCCATTTCTTTTCCCATCATTCCGTTGTGCGTACTTCTTGAGAGTGTGGTACATCCAGTAAAGTTTGGACCCGTCACTCTCTACACCTTAGTGTTAATTACTGCAACATAGTATTACACAACTTCACCATTTTACTAACGTTCCTGAAGTCCTAACCTTCTCGGAATATTTCTTAAATGTACCTTACCACATGCTTACAGAAGCCTACTACACCCTACTACCCTACTCGGGCCAAATAACGACTGGCAGGGGAGAAGGACGAAGCAGTGGAAGAGCGAGAATCCACTTGAGGAGGTGGCACAAGTAGAGGGCTAACTCGTCGTGGAGGTAGAGGCGGCGCCCGTGCTCGTCTTCCATGCATATTCCATACATGATGGAAAAACGAATTCCCCAGGACCACATGAAATTGTCTACAACATGGCAGTCTACAGTACCCTACTCAGGCCAGGTGGCGGCTAGCCGGGGAGAAGGAGGGCAGGTCCGGGCCCGAATCCGGCGCCGAGCGGGCTACGAGTGCTGCCGCCATGATGAGCAGCGGGAGGGCGAGGATCCACTTGAGGAGGCGGTAGAAGTGGATGTGGAAGGAGAGGGCAAATTCATCGTGGAAGTGCAGGCGGCGCTCGTCCTCCATCTCGATGAAGAATGTGGCGTGAGTGCGGCGCTTGGGCGTGGGGATCACCAGCGTGTGCACCCCCGCATGCTGGAAGGTCTCCTCGTGGGTCAGCTCACGCTTCGCCTCGTCAAACAGCCACACCTGACAGTTGGAGAGGAAAAGAGGGAGGGGATGACAAGGAAGGAGTGGCGAACCGGAGAAAGTGTGAGTCGTAACGTCGCTGCACGGGTAAACCCCTTCCACACCCTGCAGGAAAACAGCCAAGCATGGGATGCCTGATAGATGACCAGCGTGTGCACACCGGGGTGCTGGAACATCTCCCACACACTTTGTAGTGCCCGATTCCCGTATACCCTGCTGCGTCCCAGGGGTTTGTGCGCATCCACAATCTCAAGGCTGAGTCAAACAGAGTCACTTAGACGAGAGGGTCGTTCTAAATGCCCAGGACAGGACTCATGAGACGACCTGTATGCACTGTCACCTTGCACGGCCCGATTTGAGCGCAATACCGTACGCCCCTCCATGACCCATGGGGCTACGTGGATCCACGATCTTTTTTTGACTCGGAAAGAGCCCTTGCTAATGTCACGGTACTGGTCGGAGTGCGGCAGCAAGTAGATGCCCCATCAGTGACAGGCGGACTGACAACAGACGGACAGACAAACAGATGGACGGAGGGACTGAGGAAGACTGACGGCTTGCACGCACCTTCACTTTGTAGGGCCCGATTTTAGCCTTGTATGCTCCGCCATGCCCGAGAGGGTTACGGGCGTCCATGATCTCAAAGCTGACGCGGAAGGAGTCCTTGCCAATGTCACGGTACTGGGGGGAGTGCGGCAGCGCAGCATGAAGATAACACTTCCACCAAAGGACAGACAGACAAGGACCTTGACCTTGTACGGCCCGATGTGAGCCCCCCCGTGCCCCAGGGGGTTGCGTGCGTCCACGATCTCGAAGCTGACACGGAAGGAGTCCTTGCCACTGTCACAGCACTGGCAGGAGTGCGGCAGCATGTAGATGCCCTCGTGGCTGAGATTGACAGAGACTGACAGAGACTGACAGAGACTAGACTGAAACTGACAACCTGCTCTCACCTTCACTTTGTAGGGACCGATCTGAGTGCCATACACCCCTCCGTGCCCAAGCGGATTACGGGCGTCCACAATCTCAAAGCTGACGCGGAAGGAATCTTTGCCAATGTCGCGGTACTGGCGGGAGTGCGGCAGCATGTAGATGCCCTCGTGGCCGTAGCGCGGGAAGAACACGTTGCGCCCCTGGTTCTGGGACGGCCATGCCTGGAGAGAGAGAGATTAAAGGTGGGTTGGCAGGGGGAGGGAGATTATTGAGGAGGCGTAAACACAGGGGATTATCAGGAAAGGATCTGCTGAGCTGTAAATATTGTCTTGCAAGTGGGTTCTACTTTACCTTGAGCGGGTGGTACAGCACGGATGTCTGGAGGCAGTACACAGAGCCGCTCATGGTGCAACACTGAACACACATGTATTTCACCCCACTATCAAGCCTTTGAAAGATGGAACTCAGACTCAGACCCCACTTCCAGACGTCCGTGCAGTACCACCGATGGAAGCTGGAACAGAATATCTCTCAACATCTATCGCTGGTACTGCACGGACGTCTGGAAGCAGTAGACTAGACAGCGCTGCCCAGTCTGCTGCCGTTCATGGTGGAAACCACTAGTTGTGGACGCACGTGTGCAAAAAAAACACCACTGAACATAGACTGGAAACACCCCTCCTCATCTGCCTCTCCTTCTACAGGTAGTAACCCCCCATGTATCTCACCTTGAGAGGATGGTACTGCACGGACGTCTGGAAGCAGTAGACAGCGCCGTTCATGGTGGAAAGGAAACCACCAGAGCTGATCACACATGCAGATGCCACCACTGCCGAGCCTTGCTGTGCCTTGCAAGTGGGTTCTGTCTCACCTTGAGAGGGTGGTACTGCACGGACGTCTGGAAGCAGTACACGGCGCCGTTCATGGTGGAGACCACCAGGTCTAGATCGTCTCCCCCATCCACGTTCTCCGCCAGGACCATGCTGTACCTGCACGGTTGAAAGGGGTTGGGAGCGGTGGGGTGGGATAGAGGAGGAAGGGGACAGGTGTAAGGAAACCACCAGGCCACCAGGTCCAGGTCGTCCCCTCCGTCCACGTTCTCTGCCAACACCATGCTGTAGCTGCATGGTTGAAAGGGGTTGGGAGGAAGAAGGGGACAGGTGTAAGGAAAGCGCCAGGTCCAGGTCGTCGCCCCCGTCCACGTTCTCCGCCAACACCAGGCTGTACCTGCACGGTTGAAAAGGGCCGAGCGAATGGAGAGTGAGGGGTGGAGAGTCTGGAGGGACGGTTTAGTAAGGGGTTGGTGGGGTGGGATGCAAGAGGAAGGGGAGAGGTGGTTGGCCCCTTTTGGCCCTTTTTCAAAGCCACTAGTTTCCACCACCAAACAGTTCTGACAAGTTTCAAAGCCCTTGACATTGATGTCCTTTGTCCCCCTTATACCCTCTTCCATTGCTCCCCTTGACATCCCAGTGCTTCCCCCCCCCTTCTCCTTCCTCCATTTCCTTTCCCCCCTCTACCCACTCCAATCCGCACTCACAAGGTTTCTCCGATGTCAAACGTGTCGGCACATCCTGTCCGTTCATCCACGGAGGACCGGAAGGAACCCATCAGACGACACCACCACCAGATGCAGCCCCGCTGACGCCCCCGCGTGCTGTCCCTTGCTACCCCGCCCTTCATCCCCTTGCCCTTGCTCCCTTCCTTCTCTCCTTCCTTTTCCCCCCTCCTCTCTCCCCCCCCCCTCTGGTCCAAGTTCCACCCACCCCTTACCCTGCCCATTTCCCCCCAACACCCCCCCCCCCTCCCTTCCCCGCGCCCCCGACTCACGAGGTTTCCCCAATGTCGAAGGTGTCGGCGCATCCTGTCCGTCCATCCACGGCGTACAGGAGCCCATCAAACGACACCACCACCAGATGCAGCCCCGCAGACGCCCCCACGTGCTGCCCCTTGCCCCCTTAAACCCCCTTCCCCTTGCTCCCTTCTCCCCTCTCGTCCCCTTGCCCATTTCCCCTTGTTTCCCTTCCCCTTGCCCCCCTCCCCTCACACACTCCGCAACCTCCATTCCCCCCCCAACAACTCACGATGTTTCCCCGATGTCAAACGTGTCGACGCATCCTGTCCGTCCATCCACGGCGTACAGGAACCCATCAGACGACACCACCACCAGATGCAGCCCCGCCGACGCCCCCGTGTGCTGCCCCTTGCTGCCGCCCCTATATCCTCTTCCCCTTGGTCCTTTACCCTTGCTACCTTCCCCTCCTCCTCTCTTTCCCTGCCCCCCTTCCCCCCCATCTTTAACCCCCACCCAATCTTCCGCCCATGCCTCTCCCCCTTCCCCATGCCCCCGACTCACGATGTTTCCCCGATGTCAAACGTGTCGGCGCATCCTGTCCGTCCATCCACGGCGTACAGGAACCCATCAAACGACACCACCACCAGATGCAGCCCTGCAGACGCCCCCACGTGCTGCCCCTTGCCACCCGCGTGCTTGTGCAGATCCACCAGCAGAATGGGCGCCATGATGCGCCCGTGCGTGCGGAAGGGAAAGCTCCCCACGTCCTTGCCTGGGGAAACGAAGAGGGCAGGGGAAGAAAGGGAGGGGAGGAGGGGTGACGGGGGAGGGATGAAGGGGGTTTTGTTGGCATTCTGTCCCTGTACAGATCCACCAGCAGAATGGGCGCCATGATGCGCCCATGCGTGCGGAAGGGAAAGCCCCCCACGTCCTTGCCTGAAGCGGGAAGGGGGAGGAGGGGAGCGGTAGGAGGAGAGGGATGCAAGGAGTAAGGAATGAGTGCTGCCCCTTGCCGCCTGCGTGCTTGTGCAGGTCCACCAGCAGAATGGGCGGCATGATGCGCCCGTGCGTGCGGAAGGGGAAGCCCCCCACGTCCTTGCCTGGAGGAAGGAAAAAGAGAAGGGGAAAGAGTGGTGAGGTACAGGAGGAATGGAAAGGAGTGTTTTTCGAGACGCCAGGTGCCTCTCCCACACCTCCTTGCCCTCCGGAGTGAATGCCACCACTTCCCTCCCACTACCCCACCCCACCCACCCTCTACGTGCGCCTAGTTAACACCAAGCTACCTCTTTCCGCAGGTGAATCCTCACCTGTCCTGCCCTGAGGAAGACCCAATGACCACCTCAGTGAGCCTCCCTTTTATGGTCTTCAAACGCCCTCCCTCACCTGCTCTTGCATTCTCACACGTCCACCCATCCCCTCACACCTGTCCTGCCATCCAGCACGCAGATGTGCCCTGAGGAAGACCCAATGACCACCTCCGTGAACCCGTCCCCGTTCACGTCGCCCACGCTCGCCCCCCGCGCGATCAGCGATGCCAGGTGGCGCTCCCACACCTCCTTGCCCTCTGATGAGAAGGCCGCCACCCCCCAACATCTGCCCTACTCACTGCCATCAACCCAGCTAAGTTTTTCTAGAAAACGCCAAGTTACCTCTATCCTACTGCAAATTCTCACCTGTGCGCCCATCCAGCACGTAAATATGTCCAGAGGAAGACCCAATGACCACCTCCGTGAACCCGTCCCCATTCACGTCGCCCACGCTCGCCCCCTGCGCGATCAGCGACGCCAGGTGCCGCTCCCACACCTCCTTGCCCTCCGAGGAGAAGGCGGCCACGTTGCCGCGGGTGTCGGCTGCAATGATCTCGAGCTTGCCGTCGTGGTTCACGTCAGCTGCCACCACCTGCCCCTGCACCTCCCCCATCTGGAGTGGGAACCCGGGCTTCACCTTGCCTGGTTTGAGAAGAAGGAGGAGGAGAGGCGAAGTTGGGAGGGCGGAGGGGAAGGGGGAGATAGGGTGAGTCTGGCTGAAAATGGTGAAGATAGGAGGGCGGGAAGCGGAGATGGGGAAGGAATGTGAGGAGTAGGAGGGGGGAAGGCGGCGGCCACGTTGCCGCGCGTGTCGGCTGCAATGATCTCGAGCTTGCCATCGTGGTTCACATCTGCTGCCACCACCTGCCCCTGCACCTCCCCCATCTGCAAAGGGAAACCTGGCTTCACCTTGCCTGGGGGAGTGGGGAGGGAAGGGAGGAGGTGGGGAGTGGGGAGGGGGGAGCGGGAGGAGGGGATAGGGTGAGACTGGATGAAATTGGTGCAAGTGAATGAAGGTAGTGGAGACAGGGAGGGGAGACGAGGAGAGGGAGGAAGGAGGGCGGCCACGTTGCCGCGGGTGTCGGCTGCGATGATCTCGAGCTTGCCGTCGTGGTTCACGTCTGCTGCCACCACCTGCTCCTGCACCTCCCCCATTTGTAAGGGAAAGCCGGGCTTCACCTTGCCTGGTTGGTGTGGTTTGGGGGGGAAAGGGGACCCGGGAGGGTGGGGGATGGGGAGGAGAGATGGAGGGAGAGTGGGACATTAACTGAAACAAGTAGATGTAGGCGCGGGACATCTTGCTGCCTGTGGTGAGATCCAGGTGCTGCTGCTGCTGCTGCTGCTGCTGCTGCCGCCGCTGCTGCTGTTGCTGCTGCTGCTGCCGGTGCAGAGATGCACCACTGGTGGCAGCGCCAAGAGCACCGTGCCGGACCCAACAAAATCCATAACAAGACAAGCAGCACCCATGGAGACGCCACACCGGACGTACCAAAGGCATCAAGCCTGTGGTAAATGAAGCGGAGAGCCGACAGACGTCCCCTTTGAGTTCAGATAGGTTAAGAGGAGTATTTTTTAGCATTGAAACAAGTTCATACGGTTTGATAAATTTAGAATATTTATGAGTAGCCATCTCCATTTCCTGTGCATTAACTGAACCAAAACCACTTCCAAATCAAAGAAGCCCACCTGAAGCACCACCCACCCAGAAGATACACCGCACGTACCAAAGGCGTCGAGGCAGTAGATGAAGCCAAAAGACATCCCCAACATAATTGTTAGGAAGCCATCTCCATCCAAATTTATGACAGCGGGAGCCGAGTAGATGTAGGCGCGGAACCGCGTGCTGTCGTGGTGAGGTCCAGGTGCTGCTGCTGCCTGTGCAGTGCTGCGACCACTTGACCTGCTGCTGGTCGTGGTAGCGCCTAGAGCACCACAGGACCCCAGAAAACCCAAAACAAGTCAAGCAGACCCCACTGAGACGCCACAAAGGACGTACCAAAGGCGTCGAGGCAGTAGATGAACCCCACCGACGTCCCAACAATGATCTCCAGGAACCCGTCTCCATCCAGGTCCACGACAGTGGGAGCCGAGTAGATGTAGGCGCGGAACTGCGTGCTGTCGGTGGTGAGATCCAGGTGCTGCTGCTGGTGCTGCTGCCTAAGCCAACCGAGGCCCCTCTCAAACCTAAGAAATCACACCACAACCCACACCAGAACCCGCACCAGAACCCGCACCAGAACCCAAACCAGAACCCAAACCAGAACCCAAACCAGAACCCACACTAGCGACGTACCAAAGGCATCGAGGCAGTAGATGAAACCCACGGACGTGCCCACAATGATCTCCAGGAACCCATCTCCATCCAGATCCACGACAGTGGGAGCCGAGTAGATGTAGGCGCGGAACTGCGTGCTGTCGGTGGTGAGGTCGAGGTGCTGCGACCACTTGACCTGCTGCGTGTGCAAGTCGAACACCACAATGGCCCCGCCGATGTACTTGCTCATGTCCACCCCCTCCTCCAACTCGTGCTTGTGCGCCGGGTCCTCGTAGTACCTGACACGGGATAAAACCATAGGCCCATAGGGTACATTATAGCATGGATGGTGTGGCATGGCAGGCCGATGGCCGATGTACTTGACCATGTCCACCCCCTCCTCCAACTCGTGCTTATGTGCCGGGTCTTCGAAGTACCTGGTTGGTGGGTGGGAGGGTAAGGGGGGGGGGGTGTTGTGCATTATGGCATGAATGGTATGGCATGGGGTTGCCCATGTCCACCCCCTCCTCCAACTCGTGCTTGTGTGCCGGGTCCTCGTAGTACCTGGTTGGGGAGGAGGGGGAGAGGAGGAAGGGGGAGGGGGGTGTCAAAGTATATATATGCTATATATGTTTAGGCTGTAGTGGGGTAGCCAATATGGGGTACAGCCCCTTTTAGGGTTTCATACTTGTACCCAACCCTTGCATCGTTCATTCATTCCTGCTGCTAGATTTTGACAGGGGGTGGGGGTATATTAGAGCACGAGTGGTACAGCAGTATGGCATGGAGTTGAGGCGGGATGTACTTGCTCATGTCCACCCCCTCCTCCAACTCGTGCTTGTGTGCCCTGTCCTCGTAGTATCTGGTTGGGCAGGTGGGTGGGGGGTACAGGAGAGGGGGGGGTTGTGCATTATGGCATGGATGATAGTATGGCATTGGGGTTGAAGGGACATACTTGCTCATGTCCACGCCCTCCTCCTAACTCATGCTTGTGTACTTGTACTTTGGGTGGAAGATTGAATCAAGATTGCCTTTCCCCCGCCCCCGTTTCTTGTTTCGATCAAAAGTAGCACGGGCAAGTTCAAAGAGCAGTACACATGCGACAACGCAAGCACAAGCCCAGCATGGCACAGCATGACACAACACACAGCATGGCATGCTGACGTCAAGGCAGCTGCAAGCTGCCCTGCCCCAAGCTAACTCACTCGCGGTCAAAGAAGTGAGATGCTGCCACCACCAGCTCATCATGGCCGTCGTTGTCAATGTCCGCTATCACCTGGTGCGAGGGAGAGAGGAAACGCGGCACGCAGGGAGAGAGCGCGCTGATTTTGTGAGATTTAAGTCTAGTTTTGAGGCGCCTCAAAATTTGAGTGGACTCAAAAGATGCCACCACCAGCTCATCATGGCCGTCGTTGTCAATGTCCGCTATCACCTGGTGGGGGAGGGGAGGCAGCAAGGGAGAGGTGGGGGGAGGAGCAGAGTGAGATATCACTCAAAGAGAGGCACATCCGTCATATAAAATGATGAACTCCTTACTCGCCCCATGCTTCACCTCCGTCCACGCATCATGCCTCTGAGAGGGAAAGAACAGAAACCGTCTTACCGGTGTGCAGAGGATGTGAGAGTCAACCAGGATGAACTCCTTATCCGCCTCGTGCTCCGCCTCGGTCCAGTCCTCATCCTCCCACATGTTCTCATTCACATAGTCATCATAATCGTACTCATACTCCTCCACCTCACATCCTTCACGGCCCCTCAGCCTCTGCGCAGGTAACCAAAAGAACCCTTACCGGTGTGCAGAGGATGTGCGAGTCCACGAGGATATACTCCTTATCTGCCTCGTGCTCCGCCTCGGTCCAGTCCTCATCCTCCCACATGTTCTCATTCACATAATCATCATAATCGTACTGATACTCGTCCCCATCCTCCTTCTCCGCCCGCGGACCCCCCCACTCATCATCCTCCCCCTCGTCCTTCTCTATGTGCTCCTCCTTGTGCGTCTCCCCGTCCCCATGATGCCCCCACCCGCCGTGACCCTCGTGCTCATCTTCCCCCAGCTCCTCCCCCTCCCCCGCTGGCTCCCCCTCGCCCTCCGCGTTCCCAGCCCAGTCATCCCCGTCGCCCTCCCACTGCTTGTAATCATCGTCATCCTTGAACACGTCCCACGAGTCTGCTCCTTCTTCGTCCAGCTCGCTGTCGGGCTCTGCTGTGGGGAACTGGGGGAGAAACAGCCAGAGGGATGGGAGGGGCGGGCACACACGGACACACAGGGACGGAGAGAAGTGGGGGATGACGATGTGAAACAGTCCAGTCCTTCGCTACTCCCCATCCCCCTCCCACTGCCGGTAGTCATCATCGTCATCCTTGAACACGTCCCATGACTCGGCCCCCTCCTCGTCCAACTCACTGTCCGGCTCTGCTGTGGGGAACTGCGAGTGGAAGGGGAAGGGCACACACGGGAGAAGGAGGGGAAGGGTGTGGGGTGGGGATGATGAAAGGAATATCGGCCAGTGTTGCCGGTAGTCACCTCGACCTTGAACACGTCGCATGAGTCCGCCCCCTCCATATCTTCACACCCCCCCAAGCAGCCCCCTCTCTGACTCACATCCTCGTGGTCGCCAGCATGGTGGTCCCCGTGCACCTGCAGCAGCCTCCTGCGGGCAGCTGCATGCGCCCAGAACCAACATGCACCCACCCACACACGACCACCCTGCATCCCACCTACCCCAGCAGCCCCCCTTCCTAGACTCACATCCTCGTGGTCGCCAGCATGGTGGCCCCCGTGCACCTGCAGCAGCCTCCTACGTGCTGCCCCCACGTCTCCACCCCTCCCTGCCCCCGCCTTCTCCTCATGCACCTGCAGCAGCCGCCTACGCGCCCCATGCACCCCTCCACCAGCAGCAGGGGGCGAGTTGTCCCCTGGGAGCAGCAGTTTGCTCTTCCAGTCCTGGTAGTGCTTCCACAGCGCCTGCTCCTTCTCCCCCATTTGGGATCCTGGTGCCACCTTGGCCATCACATCTTGGTGCCACTTCTCCCACGACTGGATCTTCTGTAAATCCGCCTCCGTTGCTTGAACCTTCCCAGAACCTTCCACCTGCTGCTGCCCCTGCGCCGGCTGCTGCTGCTGCCCTTGCTGCCCCCCCGCTGCTGCTGCTGCGATTCCCCCACTCATAGCGGCAGCGACAGCAGCGGCGGCTGCCTTGGCCTCGGCTGCAGCATGCGCCTCTTTGCTGCACAGCCCGTCCTTCCCACAATCCAGATCTGCCAGCGCCGCCCCTCGCCCTCCCGCTCCTGCAGCACCACCAGCACCCCCAGCAGCACCCCCAACAGCACCAGCACCCCCACCAGCAGCAGCAGCACCTGCAGCATGTGCCAGCGGCTCTACAAGCGGGGGCATGTCAATCCCCCCGCTACTAGCACCTCCAGCAGCAGCGCCCGCGGCAGTTACAACAGGGGGCAGGCCCGGGTCCTCCTGAGGATTCTCTACCTTCACCTGTGCTTGCGCCTGAGGGTGCTGCTGCTCTGCGAGCGTTCTAGCAGCAGTGGCTGTGCCAAACGCGGTGTCTGCTGCTGCGTGGGGGATGCCTGGCTGCTGCAGGTCACTCCCGTGAGGCAAACCGCCCCCTCCTGCTGCATGCTGCTGCTCGGTATGCTTGTCCGGATGCTGCTCTGGGTGGTGCTCGTGATGCACCTCCTGCGGCTGCTGCTGCAGTGGCTGAGTCTTATACTGCCCCTGCGCCTGCTGCCCTTGTGCTTGTTGTCCCTGTGCCTGCTGCTGACCCTGTGCCTGCCCCGATGTGCCTGGTGCGTGGGTGTCAGAGCCACCAGCGCCGCGCTCAGCATGGGCGTCAGCGGCGTGGGCCGTGGGCAGGTTCAGAAGGTCTCCCCCCTGGTGCTGGCTGGACGCGTTCTTGGCTGCTGCTGTGTGAAACACAAGGGGGGGATTGGGGGGGGGGGGGCGCAAGGGGGTTGGAAAAGAGAATACCAGCAGTGTGTGCCGTGGGCAGGTTCAGAAGGTCGCCCCCCTGGTGCTGGCTGGACGCGTTCTTGGCTGCCAGTGGAAGCACAGAGAGGTGAGAGGGAGGAGAGGATGGGGAGAGATGGAGGGATGGTGGGTGCGGAGGGACAGAAAATATCAGTGAGAATGGGAGAACCACTACCAGCGCCGCGATCAGCATGGGCGTCAGCAGCGTGTGGCTTGGGCCGTTTCAGCAGATCTCTCTCCTGATGCTGGCTGGACACGTTCTTGGCTTGGCTGCTGCTGCGTGAAGCATACAGAGGGAAGAGCGAAGATGCAGAAGGTGAGGGAGGGGGAGGGAGAGAGGGTCGGTGCGGAGGGAAAAGAAACATCTGAGTTGACTTTTGAGTCGACTCAAAAGTCAACTAGGGTCGGTGCGGAGGGAAAAGAAACATCTGCGTTGACTTTTGAGTTGACTCAAAAGTCAACTAGGGTCGGTGCGGAGGGAAAAGAAACATCTGAGTTGACTTTTGAGTCGACTCAAAAGTCAACTAGGGTCGGTGCGGAGGGAAAAGAAACATCTGTGACGACGGAAGGACCACCACCAGCAGCGTATCTGGGAAGGTCATCAGCAGCGTGTGGCTTGGGCAGGTTGAGCAGATCGCTCTCCTGATGCTGGCTGGACACGTTCTTGGCTGCCGTGTGAAGCATGGTGAAGGGAGTGGAACTCTGGATCAAGCCGAGCATACCAGTACTGAGAATGCAGCTGCTTTAAACGAGGATATGCCAAACTATCGTTTATGGGAGCGTGGATTTCGGGGTGTGCATGGTTCACGTGGTCTGGATCCAGCCTCACATGTGCAGTATCTTACAACAAGGATGTCTCACCAAGTAGTAAGCCCGGCTCACCATCGTCAATGGGAGCATGGATGTCGGGGTGTGCATGGTCCACGTGGTCTGGGTCCGGCCCCACATACCACTCCTTGCGGATGCGCAGTGTCTTATAACGAGGATATCTCACCACTTGGAAGACCATCCTAGCCTAAAGCATCTCACCGTCGTCAATGGGGGCGTGGATGTCGGGGTGTGCATGGTCCACATGGTCTGGGTCCAGCCCCACATACCACTCCTTGCGGATGCGCAGCCGCGGCACACTCATCTTATAACGAGTCAGCTCCTCGCCACCAGGCCTGCAAGAAGAAGATGATACAAGTCAATGGGTGTAGTGAATAGGTATGACCGGGAACAGGGAGATAAGAAGTGGATTGGGTCGTCTCAGACGTGAAGGGAGATGATCTAAGTGTTGTAAACCGCAACAATGGATTCCTCCCACCGTCCTTGTTGATGCCGTGCAACAGGGTGTGCGAGCGAGCATCTGTGCCTGTCCCATCCACACTGCCTGCCTCCCATGCATGCATGAGAAGAAGCAGCTACTGACTCACGTGAAGGAGAGGATTTCGCCGTTGTAATCCGCGAGAATGGTCTCCCTCACCCCGTCCTTGTCAATGTCGTACAGCAGGGTACATAAGCTTCTGTGCCTCTCCCATCCGCAATGACTGAGAAGAAGTGATTTCGCAACTCACGTGAAGGAGAGGATCTCGCCGTTGTAGTCCGCAAGGATGATCTCCCTCACGCCGTCCTTGTCTATGTCATACAGCAGCGGGCTCGTGTGCGTGCTGGAGCGGTAGAAGGCCGGCCAGCCTGAAACAGAAGAGACAGACAGCATAAGAGGGGAGGTTTGAGGCATCTCAATGTAACCCTCAACGCAACCCTCACGCCGCCCTTGTCTATGTCGTACAGCAGCGGGCTCGTGTGCGTGCCGGAGCAGTAGAAGGTCGGCCAGCCTGAAACAGAGTCGAGAGAGGTCACAAGAGGGAAGGTTTGAAACTCTTCATTGTATTCCTCACTCCATCCTTGTCTATGTCATACAGCAGAGGGCTCGTGTGCGTGCTGGAGTGGTAGAAGGCCGGCCAGCCTGAAACAGAGGCGCAAGTGGGCAGATGGGTAAGGATTTGAGACGCCTCAACGTAACTCTCCACCCGTCCGTGTTGATACCATACGGCAGTGGTGCATGTACTGCACATCACCGCTGCTGCTGCCGCCGCCGCCACCACCACTCCATCTTGGAGGCGCAACAGCCACATCTACACATGGCGAACCCCAGACGAGCGAGAGTACGAGAACCACCACCACGTACCATGCAGACGGTCCCCATGCAGCCGATCTCCATCATAGCCGTCCAGCACCTCGAGGTAGGGCAAGATAGACGGCACCACCACCTCCACAACTACCACTCGAGACCAGCACCAGCACCAGCACCACTACCACCATCACGCACGTACCATGCAGCCGGTCACCATCATAACCATCGAGCACCTCCAGGTAGTGCACGAAGGACGGCACCACCACCTCCATCTTGCCGTCCCTGCAACAGCGATCAATACAAGGGAGAGGAGGAATGTGAGCGGAGGCAAATTGCAGAGAGTGCGTTTGACAACACGTCGTTTCGCCTCTAGGAATGTGGATGCCCCCGCGACAGCCAGAAGGCAAGGGAGACGAGGAATGTGAGGGCAGGCAGATCGCAGTGAGTGGGTTTGACAACACGTCGTTTCGCCTCTCGGATCCCTCGGTGTGAGGGAAATGGAGTGCCAGCGCGATGGATTTGAGAAGGCGGTACGAACCCAGCCTTTCAAGGCAATCGTTGCGAACAAAAGTAGACAGATTCGCGAGACCATAGACATCAGATGAGCTCAACCAGAACAACGGCCTCGCACAATTGCCATGATCGCAGCGTTAAAAGTTTTCCAAGAAGCCCTGAAACTTTGTAATCAACGAATTTGACAAAAAGTAACCTGCATTAATCATGTACTGACCGGTTAATATTGGCGACGAGGGGAGTGGAGTAGATGCTGCTGCTGACCTCCCCTGTCGCTACAGCTTCTATTGATTCGACTCAAATCCGCCTTTGTCGCGAGCAAGGTGAGTGTGGAATATCGTACTGACCGGTTAATATCGGCGACGAGGGGAGTGGAGTAGATGCTGCTGCTGACCTCCGCCTGCCATCGCAACTCCAGATTCACGGGACACCGGCTGTTCCCCATCGCCTCCTCGTCGCTGCTCGTACGCTCAGTCGTTCGTCCGACAGATCACGCCGATTTATGCACATGGCCACAGGGATGGTGGGAATGAGAGCGAATTCGTCGAAGCAAAAAAGAGCAGAAATTAGTAAAAAATGATGCTTATTTTTACGAATAATATATAATACGCTGAGTGAGGATTCTGAATCTGTAAGCAGGCGGGGATAGCCGGAAGGATATGAGAACAGCGAAGGAAGTAATATCCTTACACGGCTGGAATCGCATCGCTGTCGGCTGTCGCGTGACGCGACAGGAACTTATTCCCCTCATTGATCACATGTGAGTCTCTAGTAACCGGATTCGACAACTGTGCCTGACATTCCGTCGCCAGCAACGTCACCACGCACAGCACCAAAATGCCGACCTTTACGATCGGCTTCATCCTTACGCCTAACTCAAGCCGCGATGGACGCGGGACGGCGCGCAATCTGCAGACCTCAACGTGACGGACCGACCATGCGACCAGTAAGGAAATTCACGTTATCAGGAAAGGATACTGGAGGACGCTGAATTATGGAGGACCCTTGGGATGATCGAAGCTGGCCGTGGTGAACTGCCTGATAAGATCAGCGGAGATCAAGATTTGGAAGAAACCCAAGGCGGAAGCATACGCACTTCAGAGAAAAGGGACATCCTTTACTAGCGTACTATCAATGAGAGATTATGTAATGCCAAAACATAATTGTTATTGGGATGAAATCATAAGTAGCGATTCATAGCCTTATACCTATTTGCTGCATCCTTCATGAACTCTGGAGCTCTAATCAGCGTTTACACATTCATAATATGATTAAATTCAACATCAGACAAGAGGGATTGCAAGGAAAGAGACAAAAATAGGATGATACGACATCTACGTGAGCCTACTCATCGCCGGAAAGATACCTTGATGTCGAATGCATTGAAGTTAACCAGGTCTAATTTATGGTCTTTCACTGAATAGTTTTTGGGCTCGTTTCGGGGCTAGCCCTCACTCGTAAAGTGCTGGATTGGGAAACTGCAGTGACTGGGTTTCACACTTCCATGAATTGTTGCCTAACTCTTTGTTTGGCCGCATCTTCTTTTCCATATGGTACCCCTTCCGTCTAGAAATTCCATCCGTAACAACAAACTTTTGCATTTTGTTGTCTGACTGCTACAACCTCTGCTGGCAAAATCGTACAGTACATCCCTCATTCGCTTCTAGCCCCCTGAAAATCCACTCACTGCCAACCTCCCCCAGTTTCCTCTTCGGTCCAGTTCTTTCCTCTCAATGTGCCAATTTACGGGGGAAAATAACTGTAGAAAACATATGGTAGATGAGGAAAACGATCATCAACCAAAGAAATGGACGAATATGAGGATCAGGGGGACGGGGAAAGCAGGAGGAAAAGCAGGAGGGGGCTGACACTAGCCAAACGGCAAAATAACTGGCGCCGCCCGGACTTGAACCGGAGACCTTCAGTGTGTTAGACTGACGTGATAACCAACGACACCACGGCACCTGTTCGCAAAGGAATATATATTGTTTTGTACTTTTCTTTTGTTTTGCAGGTTTGCCATGCAACTCACTCTCACCCTTATGGCGGCACTTGCTCTCATCCCATCTTCCTGCATAGCCATCCGTCGTTGCACTCTTCAACGACTCTCCCCCGTCTCCCGTTCGCCTCTTTCCTTTCCCCGCCCGCCCCATTTCGCGCTCTCCTCACCGTCTCGAACAGTTTGCGGCAGAGCTGCCGTGCGACGCTTTGCGACAATGGCGGCCGGGTATCAGGAGAGCGACGCGGTGCGGGAGGCCCGCGATCTTGTCGCGGAGCTGTGCCGCCACTTCTACACCCTCGGATGGGTATCGGGAACAGGTGCGCGTGAAATACACTCCTGTCGATCGGGCGCACTTTGAATCATACCCCCGTACTCTTCTTCATTCGCATACTCTATGTGATCTCCTCTGAGATCCCCCCATCCTGGCAGCCCTATTCCCATTCTAGAAGCTCCTATGTCGTCACATTCCTACGCGTCACGACCTCCAATGCTGACTTCTCGAAACGTGAGGCGACTGCTCCCGAAATGCCGATCAGAGTCTCGAGCAGACGCGATTCTGTAGCTGCTGCTCGAGACTCTGATTTGTACCGCCCCGCGCTGCCGTTTTGTAGCTTCGACAGTGCCCTTCGAAAGATCTGACCCCTACCGCTGACCAGCATTGGTCAGTCAACACTGATCAGCATTGACTAGCATTCACCAGCATTGTTAAATGCTAGTAGCAATCATCGGCATTGATCAGCGTTGACTGGCATGGGTCGGCATTGACCAGCGTTGACCGTCCTTATCCAGCACTGATTGAATCACAGGTCCTTTTGATTAGTACGAGAAGCATGGATGGATTAATGATTTGGTCACGCCTTCCAAGCATCAACATACCATACTCACATACTCAGGCTCATACTGCATGGATATTCTAGTTTTGAGGCGCCTCAAAACTAGCCTACTCAGATTCATACCGCATGGATATCCCGTATCTTGTTTCGCTGCAAACACGATATTGCCGTATCTTGTGTGTGCTGCTCTCCTGGCCTGGATGCGATGCAGCAGCTTTCATGGCATGCGTTTTCCCGCAAGCACAGCTCTTTTCGAGTTCTAATCAAAGACATTCTGAACCATGCCAGCTGGCAGCTGCCCAAAGGATTTTCCAAGCTGCCCCCCAGGACCCCTGGGTGGGACCCCTGGGACCCTTGGAACCCCTGGGATCTCACTGACAGTCGTGCTGCCTGTGCCTGGATGGGACTTCTTGCATGGCATTGCATGTCAATGTGTGCACGCATTTTCTGTTATATGCGCATGCATGCATGCATGACCGTGCACGTCTGATTACGTCAGGCGAACGTTTGTGTGTGGTTCTGGCTCATTTGAGTGTATGCAACATCTGGCTTGTGTGTGATTCAGCATTCTGATGCTAGTGCTCCCTCCTGCGCACGCTTGTGTGTGTGGTTCTGTTCGGTGCATGCAGGAGGCAGCATCAGCATCAAGGCAAATGAGCCGGGGAAGACCAACCAAGAGCGCACTATCGTCATGGCACCGTCTGGTTAGTAGCGTTGCACCCTCCTTGCACCCATGCATGCACCCATCCATGCACCCTCCTTGCACCCATCCATGCACCCATCCATGCACCCATCCATGCACCCATCCATGCACCCATCCATGCACCCATCCATGCACCCATCCATGCACCCATCCATGCACCCATCCATGCACCCATCCATTCACCCATGCATGCACCCATCCATGCACCGATGCACTCATCCATACACATACGTCATTGCATCTATGCTCCATGCTTCACGCTCCATGCCCCTGTCCCCCCATCCACCCATCCGCGCACCCACACACACGCAGAAGGAGCACACGCTACTAGAGGACATGCATGTGATAGTGAGAGGCTGATAGCGGCTGATGGCACGGTGCTGGTGGAACCAACAGTCGGGCTCGTCTTTTCCCTTTTCCCCGCCTTACCAGCCATGCCATTCATGCACCCCTCGCCCCCACACACCCACAGGCGTGCAGAAGGAGCGCACGATTCCAGAGGACATGTATGTATGTGACAGCGGCTGACAGCGGCTGATGGCACAGTGCTGGTGGCAGCCAAGGTCAAAGGCCCCCCTCTTTTCCGTCTAACTCTCGTTGCTCACCTTGCCCCATGCCTTGTGCAACGTGCCCCCATGCCTTGTGCATAGGCATGATCATCCTGCCCCGGCGGGTCGGGCCGACCCGACCCGACCCGGGTTTTGACCCGGGTCGGGCCAGACATTTTGAAGCGTTGACCCGGGCGGGTCGGGTCGGGTTTACCCGGCCGGGTCGGGCCGACCCGACACCCGAAACCGGGTCGGGTCGGGTCAGTTTTTGACCCGAAATTTGACCCGACTCGAAATCGGGTACCGCGCCCTAAGTCGGGTCGGGCATTTGGCCCGACCCGAGTTTCCCTCCCTCGACAATTCGAAGTAAAGCAGATCGCCAAGTCAATGTCTAGGGTTTTTTTTTCCCTCGACATTGACTTCGATCTGCTATACCTAGGCAGCTAGCACTCTCTAACCTAGCTCGTTCTTAACCTCTATAACTCTCTAAACCAGCGCCCATGTTTAGGAACCCTATTTCATGTGGTTCAATGTTGGCGGAATGGAGTTCTTAGCCTAGCGTGACCAACCACAGATTTTCGATTTTATAGACTTACTTATTCCAAGCTCTCACACACGACTAAACTCTGGCCCTGCGTTCAAATCGCCCACTTCGCGCCTACCACGCCCGCATCTTTAGGGACGCGACCCCCAATTGTCTAGGCCTGCGCCATTACAAAAACGTCGCGACTCCAAGGTCCGAAACGTAATCGACGCCGCTTGCACGCGAATGGAGGGGGAAGAAGACAGCTCACGGGCTATTCCTGGGGCTTCACTTGGAGGCCTCCCGACACCGGCCTCCAGGGCCAGTTTTCGCTTGGGGAGCGTCTTCAATGGGCAGGAAATTGGGTGGGACGATGCAATCGTGACGAGGAGGCGTGAAGAGGTGCGGGAATGGGAGTCTCTAGGACCTGGCCCGGTGACGGAGGAGCAAGGAACACGGGGAAAGGAGAAGGACCCGGATTGGAGGCCGGCTCCGGGGGAGGCGGCCGGCACGAGTGGAGGATCGGGTGATGAGGGTTGGGGAGGGAGAGGAGCGGGCCAGGCTGGTGGCAGTGGCGCGCGTGGCTTTACGTAACTTTGAATAGTTAATTTACAGAAGGGAGGACGTTCATATAATAATATATTACACAAACATTCAGTCTTTGCAACACTGGACAGTAGCGAGGAAACCCCTACACACTGCATATGGGGTTCTGGCCCGACCCGACCCGACCCGGCCCCTACCCGACCCGACCCGGGGGCGGGTCAAGCCTGACCCGGCACCCGATACCCGGGTCGGGCCAGGATTCCTAGAAGTTCCGACCCGACCCGACCCGACCCGAAACCCGGCTGGCCCGCCCAAGTCGGGTCGGGTCGGGTCGGGTCGGGCCTAATGATCATGCCTACTTGTGCAACGTGCCCCCATGCCCCATGCCTTGTGCAACGTGCCCCCATGCCTTGTGCAACGTGCCCCCATGCCTTGTGCAACGTGCCCCCATGCCTTGTGCAACGTGCCCCCATGCCTTGTGCAACGTGCCCCCATGCCTTGTGCAACGTGCCCCCATGCCTTGTGCAACGTGCCCCCATGCCTTGTGCAACGTGCCCCCATGCCCCATGAACTGTTCCGCATGCCATCCCCCCTCTCCATCCACAGGCGTGCAGAAGGAGCGAATGATACCAGAGGACATGTATGTGATGGCCTCGGACGGCACAGTGCCGATGCGAATCTTATTCTCCTTCCCTCTGCCCTTACCATCCATGATGACCCATGTGCACATGCATGCAACCACACAGGCATGCAGAAGGAGCGAATTATACCAGAGGACATGTGTGTGATGGCCCTGGACGGCTGGTGGAGCCCAAGATCAAGCCGCACTTCTCCTTCTGTTCCCCGTTGCTCTCCATACCCCATGCCTTGTGCCCCGTGCCCCATGCCCCTCCCTCCCTGTCAGGCGTGCAGAAGGAGCGCATGATACCAGAGGACATGTACGTGATGGCCCCGGACGGCACAGTGCTGGTGGAGCCCAAGGTCAAGCCGCCCCCACACAAGGCGCCCAAATGCAGCGAGTGCGGGCCGCTCTTCCTCAAGGCGAGTAATACTCGTTTGTAACAGAACAGCATGCAGCATGCACTCTTTGTGTTGAGCCCAAATTGTAGCCCAGCCCAAGGTCAAGCCCCCCTCGCACAAGGCACTCAAGTGCAGTGAATGCAGGGCGCTCTTCCTCAAGGCGAGTGCTCCTATCAACTCCTCCTGGGTTCTGAAGCGCGCCTTTGTCTCGGACAGACCAAGCGCGCCTTTGTCTCGGACAGACCAACGTCTCATGTGTACCATTATTCCATTTTGATAACCCGGTTTTTGCACCCTCCACAACCCACCCCGACCCACCCATACCCACACTTCCGCACCCCCACTCCCTTTTCCTCATCCCTCCTCCCCTCGCTCCCTCTTCCCACCCTCCCCTTCCATTTCGCCTTATCTCCTCCCACCTGCGCCAACACTCCCCCATGCCGCAATGCTTGAGGTACTTGGGGGGGGGGGGGGGCGTGATTCACATGTTGTTCAGTCGTTCCAGTGATAAAATCTCTTTCCCACACCCACATGCCTCCACTGCCCCATATGCAACAGTGCTTTGAGATGCGCGGGGCGGGGGCAGTGATCCACAGCCACGGCATGGAGACTGCCATGGCCACCATGCTCGTCCCTGGCGCTAAGGAGTTCCGCGTGAGTGCACTCACTTGACTGGTCTGGGTTGAATGCGTTGACTGGGTTGACTTGCAGCACCACATGGTATGGCATTGTGACTGTTCTGATTCACAGCCGCGGTGTGGAGACTGCTATGGCCACCATGCTCGTCCCTGGTGCTAAGGAGTTCCGCGTGAGTTGACTCTCTTGACCCTGTTGACTCAGGTGGCTGAGGTGATCATATGGCATGGACTGGGTTGACTGCGTTGACTGGAATGACTGAGCTGAGTAGAACCATTAAGGGCATAATGGGCCATGGTTGTTACGACAAGTGCTTGTCACTGAGCTTAGAACCCTAACTCTTGCATTACCGTCTCTCGCCATCCCTCTGCCTCCCTCACACCCCCTCCCCCCAGGTATCCTACATGGAGATGTTGAAGGGAATAGTGGGCCATGGGTACTATGACGAGCTGGTTTTGCACTGAGCTGAGAATCGTTTCCCTTGCGCTCCCGTCTCCCTCTGTGCCTCCCTCTCTCTCTCCCCCCCTTTGTTCAGATATCTCACATGGAGATGATAAAGGGCATCGTGGGCCATGGCTACTATGACGAACTGGTGGTTGCAGAACTAAGCACCCCATTTCTTGCACTCTTTCCCCACTCGTCGCGCTCTCTTTCCCCTTCCCACGCCCCCTCCCCCCAGATATCTCACATGGAGATGATAAAGGGCATCGTGGGCCATGGCTACTATGACGAACTGGTGGTTGCAGAACTAAGCACCCCATTTCTTGCACTCTTTCCCCACTCGTCGCGCTCTCTTTCCCCTTCCCACGCCCCCTCCCCCCAGATATCTCACATGGAGATGATAAAGGGCATCGTGGGCCATGGCTACTATGACGAACTGGTGGTTGCAGAACTAAGCACCCCATTTCTTGCACTCTTTCCCCACTCGTCGCGCTCTCTTTCCCCTTCCCACGCCCCCTCCCCCCAGATATCCCACATGGAGATGATAAAGGGCATTGTGGGCCATGGCTACTATGACGAACTGGTGGTGCCAATCATTGAGAACACGGCGCGGGAATACGAGCTCACCGACTCCCTTGCTGCTGCTGTGAGTTCACTTCACTGCCTGGTGGAATCACTGGTGAGGTTACTCCCTTGCCTTGCAAGAAACTGGTGGTGCCAGTCAAGTCATTGAGAGATGAGAAGACGGCGAGGGAACACGGCGAGGGATGAGAACACGACGAGGGAACACGGTGAGGGATGAGAACACGGCGAGGGATGAGAACACGGCGAGGGAAAAGCTTGCAGCTTATGGACTCCCTCGCTGCTGCTGAGCATATCGTTGACCCCCACTTGCACGCCATGCCATCCACTCCCTCTTCCTCTTTTAGGCGCCTCAAACCCTGAACCCTTGACTTCTGAGGCGCCTCAAAAGTACGCCCTCGCTGCTGCTGTACGGCCATTGACCCCCACTTACACACCCCACACCCCTCTTCCTGTGAGAGAAGGAGTTAGGAATGAAGTTGATAACTTGATTGAGAATCATGGGGGTATACATAGTAATGGGGTTGGATGCTAACCTAAGGTGACATTATTGGACCCCAACCAAAAAGTTGGGTTGGGAGATTATTGGTGGGGTCCAATAATGTTGGCCAAGTTGGGGTTGGGCCAACATTATTGGAGGGGGCCAAAAATTCTAACCAACCCAACCTTTTGGGGTCCAATAATTGGACCAAGGTTGGGTTCCAACCTACAAACTGGGTTACCCTTGTTTGTACACCCAAACTAAGTTTGGGTGGTTAACTCTAGTCTGTCCTATAGCATATATGCAGGTTACAAGAGGAGAGGGATTCTAACACAACCCCCTAACCTGCAGAGATGCGGAAAGGCTTGAGGGAAGCAACCCCTGAATCAAGGCGCGCCTGGGGGAGCGAGGCCGATAAGGCGGAGAAGAGCAGAGTGGGCAGGGCGAAGAAGGGCTTTGGTAAAGATATCAGCCAAGTTGGCTTTAGCAGCGATCTTGCGAACGGCAATGAGGTTCTGTTGGACGAGTTCGCGGATGAAGAAATAGCGGAGCTCAATGTGCTTGGAGCGAGCATGAAAGACGGGGCCCTGGGTGAAATGGATAGTGCTTGCGTTGTCACACCAGAGCGTGGGACAGCGCTGGGGTGCACCAAGCTCTGCTAGAAGAAAGCAGAGCCAGCGGGACTCTTGCGCAGCCATGGTGCCAGCATAGAGCTCAGCTTCGCAGGAGGAGAGGGCGACGGCAGATGAGCGAGTGGAACGCCAGCTGATAAGCCCGCTGCCGAGCGTGAAGCCATAGCCTTGTGAGGAGCGGCGATCTGGCTGAGAGTCTGCCCAGGAGGAGTCGCTGAAGCCAGAGAGAAGGGGAGGGGAGGATCCACCCAATGTGAGGGCGTGATCCTTGGTGCCACGGAGATAGCGGAGGACCCGCTTGGCGGCAGCCCAGTGGTCCTCGGTGTGGCGGCCGGAGCCGACGAACCGAGCAAGGACGCTGATGGGGTAGGAGAGGTCGGGACGAGTGCACATCATCGCGTACATCAGCGACCCAACAAGCTCGGCATAGGGCCGGGAGGAGGTGGAGGGGGAGGTGGGTGGCGCAAGCTGGTGACCGAAGGGGAGGGGGGTGGAGACCGGTTTGGCCTGCGCCATCTCGAACTTCTCCAGGACCTGGCCGATGTAGTGGGACTGGGAGAGGGTGATGGTGCGGGCGGATCGATCACGAGTGATAGCCATGCCGAGGTAGTTCTGCAGCGGACCAAGGTCCTTGCACTTGAGACGTTCCTAAAGTGACCGCTTTACTTGCTCCATGTCGGCCTTGGTGTCAGCGAGCAGGATCATGTCGTCAACGTAGACCGAGATGAAGAAGCGACGGGGGGAAGAGCGGATGAAGAGGCTGGCATCGGAGTGGGAGGCGGAGAAACCAAGGGACTGGAGAGTGGCAGACAGCTTCGCATGCCATTCTCGTGGTGCCTGTTTCAGGCCGTAAACAGGTCCCCGAGGTTGCCAGACGGTGTTGTCAGGGAAAGCAGCATGAAACCCGGGAGGCCGGCGGAGGAAGATACGCTCGTGCAGTTCGCCTTGCAGGAACGCGTTGGAGACGTCCATGGAGTCAATCTCCATGTCGTCACGCGCACCAATATCCATAAGGGTGCGTAGGGTGGCCTGTTTGACAGTGGGGGCAAATGTGAACCAGTAGTCTTCAGCCCAGGTCTGGGTGAACCCCTTGGCAACGTAGCGGGCTTTGTAGACAGGTTCTTCTCCCGGCAGCTGCTTGACTCGAAAGATCCACTTGCCCTCGACAAGGTTGGCGTCAGGGAGGAGGGGAACGTCGATGAAGGAGTCGTTGTGGATAAATGCCTCACATTCCAGGAAGATGGCGGCTATCCACTTGTCAGCGCCAGGGCAGGTGGTAGCCTCCTGGAAGGTGGAGGGGACGAAGATGGTGGGAGCGGAGATCGCGCTAAGGATTAGAGCGCCGAGGAGGCCAGGGTAGAGCATGGTGAGAGAGGGAGTGTGGCGCTGGACCATGGCGAACTCCTCATGGGAATCCTCGAGCTGGTTGAGGGAGGGAGGTGGCGGTGTGCCAAGGATGGGATCAAGGGAGCAGGTGTGCATGCGAGGGAGGAGGAAGGGTGAGGAGTGGGCAATTGCCCTCTGCCGCTGCTGCTGCTGGTGCTGCTGGAACCCCTGCTGCTGCTGCGGCTGCTGCTCCTCCCGATGCTGCTGCCCCTGCTGCTGCTGCTGCCCCTGCTGCTGCTGTTGCCCCTGCTGCTGCTGCTGCTGCCGCTGGTGCTGCCGCTGCTGCTGCTGCTGCTGCTGCTGTTGCTGCTGTTGCTGCTGGTGCTGTTGGGACGGAAGAGAAGGAGAGGGGGGAGGGGAGGAGGGAGGGGGGGCCACGGAGTGTGCAGGGGATGCAGGAGCAATGGGATCGTAGATGTCGGCAGATGAAGGTGGCGGAAGCGGAGTAGGGAGAGGTGGGAGAAGGGGTGCAGGGGGGAGGAGGGGAGGGAGCACAGTGTCGGTCTAGGTGAGAGGACGTGTAGGAAGAGGGAGGGGGTCTGGTGGTGAAGAGGAGTAATAGGGGGTGGTTTCGTCAAAGACGACGACAATGCTGCGGATAAGGCGTCCAGAGGGAGGGTGAAGGAAGAGGTAGCCAGGCGAGTCGCGGTTGTGCCCGAGGTAGACACACTCGAGGGCGCGAGAAGCGAGCTTGGCGTGGGTGCGATCGGGTGGAGGGATAAGTACATATGCCTTGCAACCCCAGACATGGAGACCAGCAGCGTCAGGTTTGGTGCCTGACTAGAGTTCCGTGGGGGTGGTGGTAGTATGTTGAGGATGGGAGTGAAGGTTGAGGAGGAGGGCAGCATGGAGCAGAGCATAGCCCCAAAGGGAAGGAGGGGTGGAGGCGTGAGCGAGGAGACAGCGAGCAATCTTGGTGATTTCGCGAATCCTGCTTTCTGCGACACCATTCTGCTGCGGGGAGTGGGGAAGGGTGTGAGTCTGTTGGATGCCATGGGTGGTGCAGTAGTGGGAGAGAGTGTGATTGAGGAATTCGCCTCCCCCATCAGAGTGTAGGCGGCCGACGGGACGCTTGAAGTGGGCGCGGCATTGCTCTGCCCAGTTGATGATCATGGTCGGCGCCTGGTCTTTCGTGTGGAGGAGGAAAATGGAGGAGTAGCGGATGTGGTCGTCTACTAGGACCAGCTAGGGATGAGCAAGTGGCGAACACGAACGTGTTCGTGTTCGCCCCTACACGAACACCTTCGTTTGCCGAACCGAACACTGTTCGGTTCGGCGAACACTTTGAGCAAAAAATGGTGTTCGCCGTTCGCCTGTGAAGGCGTGTTCGGGCGAACCTCGAACACTGTTCGTGTTCGTCGCGGGCAAATTGCAGCAGCGGCCCGAACACGAACGTGTTCGGGCGAACATCGAACACTGTTCGGCGAACATTTTAAGCCAAAAAAAAATACCTGTTCGGTTCGCCTCGAACACGTTCGAGGCGAACCGAACAGGTGTTCGTGTTTTTGCTCAACCCTAGGACCAGCATGTAGCGATGGCCCTGACGGGAACGAGTGGGGGAGGGTCCCCAGAGGTCCATATAGACTAGGTCAATTGTAGCGGGAGCAAAGGATGGGTGGCTGTGGTTGGGAGACTGTTTGAGTTTGCCGTGGATGCAGGAGGGGCATGGAGGGGCTGGAGAGGAAGGGAGGGGAGGAAGAGTGGGAGGGAGGCTGTGAAGGAGGCGAGAGGTGATGGCAGTGCGGAGAGCGGCGAAATTGGGGTGGCCGAGTCAGTGATGTAGCAGTACAGCGAGGTGGGAGAGATGATCGGAGGTGGAGGGGGTTGGAGTGAGGGAGGGTGAGAGAGGGGGAGGTGACTGCTGTTGCTGTTGTTGCGGCTGCCCTTGCTACGGCGGCTGCAGTTGTTGCTGCTGCTGCTGCGGCCCCTGCTGTTGCCCTTGCTGTGGCGGCTGCTGCTGCTGTCGCGGAGGTGAGGTAGGGGGATGGGGAGGGTTAGTGGAGGTGCCAGCACGAGTGGTGACATGGCAGAAGGATGGCCAAGGGGTGCGGAGAGTGTAGAGGCGAGTGCGGGGGCAGAGGGGAATGCGTAGAAGGAAGCGACCGCTGGCGGTGTGGTAGAGGTCACAGTAGGTGGCATTACCTGGATAGACGGCAGTGATACATGCATTTTGGATTTCACGGTGGGAGAGGAGGTTGTTACGGAGGGTGGGGATTTGGAGACCAGTTACCTTACCAGAGGGGAAGAGTGTGCAGGGGAGAGTGGAGAGGTGTGTGCATGGGATGGTAAAGCTGCTGTCAGCGCCGTGAACCTGAGTGGGAGGAGAGAGGGGTGTGAGTGTACCAGCATCCTTGAGAGCGGTCTCAGTGGCCCCACTATCGAGGACGAAGTCCAGAGTGGGTGAGGAGGAGGAAGAGACTGAGTATTGGAAAGTGGTTTCATTAATGTTGGATGGGTACATGGAAGGAAGAGAGGGTGAGATAGTAATGTTGCCAAGAAAGCTGTCCTGGGAAAAAGGAGTGGCAGTGCTACTGAGGGGAGGTGGAGTACCCCAAAGGGGAGCCGGTGAGGCCTGAGCGGCTATGGCTGCTGTGCCAAAATTCAGTTGTTGCTGCTGCCAAGGAGGAGGGCTGGGTCCCCACTGGGGCTGGAGTCCAGTTCCCCATGGGTGCTGTTGCGGGTGCGGCTGCTGCTGCTGCTGTGGCTGCTGCTGAAACAGTTGTTGCAGTTGCTGCTGCTGCTGCTGCTGCTGCTGCTGCTGCTGCTGCTGCTGCTGCTGCTGTTGCTGCTGCTGCTGCTGCTGCTGCAGCAGGTGATGCTGCTGCTGAAGATTGAGGAAAGGTGTGGGAGGAGCAAGGAGGCGGAGGTGGGCAGGGAGGTAAGCGGGGTTGGTTTGGATGTCCGCAAGAGAGGGACGTGGGGAAATCGTGCCCCACTTTGGAGGAGTGCCAACGTTACCTCGTGCGTACCAGGCATCGTCGAGAGCCTTGAAGCAAGTGCCAGGGGGATGGTTGGTCTGCCCGCAGGGTGTTCCAGCTCGGGGACTATAGCGGCGGACATAAGTGCAGGGAGGAAGAGTGCCAGGACGACTCCCGCGGCTCGCAGAGGCTCCGCCTGAATTGGTGGTGCCATGCTCATCCCCTGTGGTGCCACCACGGCTGCTTGCGCTGCTGCTTCCTTGACCGCCACCTGACTTGCCCCCACCTCCTCCTTTGCCGTTGTTCTTGCTCTGCTTGTGGGGCTGGGTAGCGTTGAGGGAGGAGGAGGAGGGTTGGGAGGAGGCGAGGTTGACAATGGGAGTGCGGAGTCTGACTTCAGTATCAATGATCCACTGTTCAACGGAGGCGAGATCAGCCATGGGATTGGCTTCAGTAAAGGCGTGAAGGCGGGATTCATAGTCTGGGGTGAGGTTAAAAAGGAGGCGGTGGATTTGGAGGGGTTCGGAGAGGCCGGCTTGGCGGGCTTCGAGGCGATCAGCTACCTCTCTCATGCGTCCGACATAGTCAACCGCTCCGTCACAGGTGGCGAGGGTGATTGAAAAGTATTCTTGAAAAAGGATGCCGACGGAACTGATGTCGCAGCGCTCAAACATGGCATGGAGTTCTGCCCAGATGACCGAGGCACGGAGTTCCCGAGCCTGGAAGCGGCGCATGAGGGAGTCAGGGAGAGCACCAAGGAGAACGGTGCAGGCGCGGGTGTCAGCAGCTGTCCAGGCGATAAGTTTTGGGGTGAAGGCAGCCATGTCGTCTTTGTATTTGGCGACAATGGCGAGGTGAGCATTGCGGCCAGCAACCGCCTGGTCATAGGCGTCAACTGCTGCATCGTACTCGGCTTTGCGGATAAGGTATGCACGGCGGCGTAAGATGATATCTGCATCAGCGGTGGCTTGGTCGGTGGTGAGCTGGAGGTCGGGTTCAAGAGGGGGATCGCCAGGAGAGGGAGGGAGAGGAGGAGTCTCGCCGGGGTGATCAGGTTCGGTGGGGGGGAGGGCATGGGGACGGCGGAGGATGACGTCAAGGACGCGGTAAGGGGGAACCCATGCGTCGGAGAGGATCCGTCGGATGCTGCCGACGAATGAGTGCCAGTTGACGGCGGATTTGTCCGCTGCGAGCTGCAGTTTATCGATGGAGGAGGGATCAATAGGAGGACGGAGGGGGGAGGGGGAGGGTGTGGCGTTAGCCATGATGGACGGCTGCGGGTGGACCCGCAGTGGTCACGGAGGAGAGCGGCGCGGGCGGCAGCGGCTGGCGAGGCCGCGGCGGCGTTGGCGCGGAGGCGGTGTCGAGGCCGTGGAGGGGAGTGGCGCGGGCGGCAGCGGCTGGCGAGGCGGCGGCTGCACTGGCACGGAGGCGGCGTCGAGGCCGCGGAGGGGAGTAGCGCGGGCGGCAGCGGCTGGCGAGGCCGCGGCTGCGCTGGCGCGGAGGCGGCGTCGAGGCCGCGGAGTGGCGCGGGTGGCGGCGGCTGGCTAGGCCGCGGCGAGGCGGGCGCGGAGGCGGCGTCGGGGCCGCGGAGGGGAGCGGCGCGGGCGGCGGCGGCTGGCGAGGCCGCGGCTAGGCAGGCGCGGAGGCGGCGTCGGGGCCGCGGAGGGGAGCGGCGCGGGCGGCAGGCGGCTGGCGAGGCCGCGACTGCGCTGGCGCGGAGGCGGCGTCGAGGTCGCGGAGTGGCGCGGGCGGCGGCGGCTGGCGAGGCCGCGGCGAGGCGGGCGCCGAGGCGGCGTCGGGGCCGCGGAGGGGAGCGGCGCGGGCGGCAGGCGGCTGGCAAGGCCGCGGCTGCGCTGGCGCGGAGGCGGCGACGAGGCCGCGGAGGGGAGCGGCGCGGGCGGTGGCGGCTGGCGAGGCCGCGGCTGCTCTGGCGCGGAGGCGGCGTCGAGGCCGCGAAGTGGCGCGGGCGGCGGCGGCTGGCGAGGCCGCGGCGAGGCGGGCGCGGAGGCGGCGTCGGGGCCGCGGAGAGAAGCGGCGCGGGCGGCAGCGGCTGGCGAGGCCGCGGCGAAGCGGGCGCGGAGGCGGCGACAAGGCCGCGGAAGGGAGCGGCGCGGGCCGCAGCGGCTAGGGAGGCCGCGGAGCTGTGGAGGGAAAGGGCGCTAAAGGGGGGGGAGGGCGGCAGGATAGCCGCGAGGAAAAGAAAAAAAAATGAGGGAGGAGGCCGGGGGTTGCGGCGGCCGGGTGGGCCTTTGAAACGAGTGGAGTAGGCCTAGGATTGATAGCTCTATACCATGTGAGAGGAGTTAGGAATGAAGTTGATAACTTGATTGAGAATCATGGGGGTATACATAGTAATGGGGTTGGATGCTAACCTAAGGTGACATTATTGGACCCCAACCAAGAAGTTGGGTTGGGAGATTATTGGTGGGGTCCAATAATGTTGGCCAAGTTGGGGTTGGGCCAACATTATTGGAGGGGGCCAATAATTCTACCCAACCCAACCTTTTGGGGTCCAATAATTGGACCAAAGTTGGGTTCCAACCTACAAACTGGGTTACCCCTGTTTGTACACCCAAACTAAGTTTGGGTGGTTAACTCTAGCCTGTCCTATAGCATATATGCAGGTTACAAGAGGAGAGGGATTCTAACACTTCCTCCCCTCCTGCCTCTGCTCGCTCTTTCCCCCCTGCAGATCGAAGCCTACCCCAAGGCCACAGCAGTTCTTGTCAGGAATCACGGCGTGTACATCTGGGGGGACAACTGGATCCAGGCCAAGACACAGGCGGAGTGCTACCATTACCTCTTTGACGCGGCTATCAGGATGCATCAGATGGGGATCAACCCCTGTGACCCTCTTCACCTTCCCGCTGCGGCTGCTGCTGCCGCTCCTGCTGCTCTTGCTGCTACTTCTGGTGGCAAGACCTTTCCGGTGAGACACAAGCAGTGGGTTGATGGGTTGATGGGATGGGAGTGCTACCACTACCTGTTTGACGCGGCTATCAGGATGCATCAGATGGGGATCAATCAACCCGTGCGACCCTCTGCACCCGCCAACCGCTGGCGCTGCTGCTGCTACTGTGCATGCTGTCCCTGGTGGTACTGCTGGCGGAAAGCATTTCCGGTAAGGCACGGGCAGTGGGTTGATGGGAGTGCTACCACTACCTGTTTGGTGCGGCTATTAGCATGCTCCTTCATATACCAAATGTTTATTTCCCACCACCCCCCCCCGTTTCCTCTCAAACCCAACCCAACACACATTCGTGCAGTCTGTTCTCCGCCCCGGTCCCCCTCTCCTCTGTGCACAAGTTCTTAGTGTCTTAGACGTGCATGCATGCCTACTAAAGTTGATGGAACTAAGGCCTTGGCAACCCACTGTCCAGCATTGACAATCCCCTCTTCCTCTCTGCAGAAGTGCATACTGTGGGACATTGAGGGCACCACCACACCACCCCCATCTGCTTTATAACCAACCCGTGTTTGAAGAAGGGTTTTGAGACGTGTTTGAAGAAGGGTTTTGAGACGTCTCAAAACCCTTCTTCAAACCTGTGGGACATTGAGGGCACCACCACACCACCCCCATCTGCTTTATAACCAACCCCCCATCCACGCCCTTCTCTCCTCTTCACTCTCTCCTTCCCCCCTCTAGGTGACTTTAGAGTCGACTGAAAAGTCACCTCTTTAGAGTCGACTCAAAAGTCACCTCTTTAGAGTCGACTCAAAAGTCACCTCTTTAGAGTCGACTCAAAAGTCACCTCTTTAGAGTCGACTCAAAAGTCACCTCTTTAGAGTCGACTCAAAAGTCACCTCTTTAGAGTCGACTCAAAAGTCACCTCTTTAGAGTCGACTCAAAAGTCACCTCTTTTGAGTCGACTCAAAAGTCACCTCTTTAGAGTCGACTCAAAAGTCACCTCTTTAGAGTCGACTCAAAAGTCACCTCTTTAGAGTCGACTCAAAAGTCACCTCTTTTGAGTCGACTCAAAAGTCACCTCTTTAGAGTCGACTCAAAAGTCACCTCTTTTGAGTCGACTCAAAAGTCACCTCTTTTGAGTCGACTCAAAAGTCACCTCTTTAGAGTCGACTCAAAAGTCACCTCTTTTGAGTCGACTCAAAAGTCACCTCTTTAGAGTCGACTCAAAAGTCACCTCTTTAGAGTCGACTCAAAAGTCACCTCTTTTGAGTCGACTCAAAAGTCACCTCTTTTGAGTCGACTCAAAAGTCACCTCTTTTGAGTCGACTCAAAAGTCACCTCTTTTGAGTCGACTCAAAAGTCACCTCTTTAGAGTCGACTCAAAAGTCACCTCTTTTGAGTCGACTCAAAAGTCACCTCTTTTGAGTCGACTCAAAAGTCACCTCTTTAGAGTCGACTCAAAAGTCACCTCTTTAGAGTCGACTCAAAAGTCACCTCTTTTGAGTCGACTCAAAAGTCACCTCTTTTGAGTCGACTCAAAAGTCACCTCTTTAGAGTCGACTCAAAAGTCACCTCTTTAGAGTCACCTCAAAAGTCACCTCTTTAGAGTCACCTCAAAAGTCACCTCTTTAGAGTCACCTCAAAAGTCACCTCTTTAGAGTCACCTCAAAAGTCACCTCTTTAGAGTCACCTCAAAAGTCACCTCTTTAGAGTCACCTCAAAAGTCACCTTATAACCAACAACCATCCACGCCCTTCTCTCCTCTTCACTCCCTCCTTCCCCCCTCCCCTCCTCTCCCACTCATTCAAAGTGTTGGTCGTAGAGAGCAGTACCACCACCACCTCATCTCCTTCCCAATTCCCATACATTCCCCTCCGCTCTCCGCTCCCCGCATCCCCCACCTCCCCGCATCCCCCACCTCCCCGCTTCCCCCACCTCCCCGCTTCCCCCATTCTGCAGAGGTTCATAGCGTCGGACGTAGAGGGAACCACCACCCCCATCTCCTCTACAACCCCCATCCATTCCCTTCCTCTCTCCTGCACCCACTTTCCTGCCCCCTCCTCCCCCTTCCCGCCACTTCCCCCAACGCTGCAGAAGTTCATAGTTCTGGACATCGAGGGCATCACCACCCCCTACTTTCTCCAACTCCGAACCTCTCTCCCCCTTCTCTCCCCCTCTCCCCCTCTCCCCCTCTCCCCCTCTTCCCCTCTCCCCCTCTCCCCACACCCGCCCCCTCCTTCCCAACGCTGCAGAAGTTCATAGTGCTGGACATCGAGGGCACCACCACTCCCATCTGCTTCCCCAACCAACACCCACCCACGCCCTTCTCTCCTCTCCCTCCCATCTTCCACCCACTCGGCAGAAGTTCATAGTGCTGGACATCGAGGGCACCACCACTCCCATCTCCTTCGTCTCCCAGGTATGCCGTGGACGGACCCTAGACCTGGTATATCTAACACGTAGCCTAAAGCCTATTTCTGAGGCGCCTAAAAATTAATCTGGCGTGGACGAACCCTGGACGAAGTATCTCCAATACGAATCGTAAAGCCGAAACCCTAAGCTTCTCGTGAAATCCGTTTCTTTCCACTTCGGTCATCCTTCCCCCCACCACCAGGTGCTCTTCCCCCCACCACCAGGTGCTCTTCCCCCCACCACCAGGTGCTCTTCCCCCCACCACCAGGTGCTCTTCCCCCACCACCAGGTGCTCTTCCCCCACCACCAGGTGCTCTTCCCCCCACCACCAGGTGCTCTTCCCCCACCACCAGGTGCTCTTCCCCCACCACCAGGTGCTCTTCCCCCACCACCAGGTGCTCTTCCCCCCACCACCAGGTGCTCTTCCCCCCACCACCAGGTGCTCCTCCCCCCACCACCAGGTGCTCTTCCCCCCACCACCAGGTGCTCTTCCCCCCACCACCAGGTGCTCTTCCCCCCACCACCAGGTGCTCTTCCCCCCACCACCAGGTGCTCTTCCCCCCACCACCAGGTGCTCTTCCCCCACCACCAGGTGCTCTTCCCCCCACCACCAGGTGCTCTTCCCCCACCACCAGGTGCTCTTCCCCCCACCACCAGGTGCTCTTCCCCCACCACCAGGTGCTCTTCCCCCACCACCAGGTGCTCTTACCCCCACCACCAGGTGCTCTTCCCCCCACCACCAGGTGCTCTTCCCCCACCACCAGGTGCTCTTCCCCCACCACCAGGTGCTCTTACCCCCACCACCAGGTGCTCTTCCCCCCACCACCAGGTGCTCTTCCCCCCACCACCAGGTGCTCTTCCCCCACCACCAGGTGCTCTTCCCCCACCACCAGGTGCTCTTCCCCCACCACCAGGTGCTCTTCCCCCCACCACCAGGTGCTCTTCCCCCACCACCAGGTGCTCTTCCCCCACCACCAGGTGCTCTTCCCCTACACCAAGGCCACGTGGGGCAGCACCAGAGAGACATGTTCGTTTCCCCCGAGGCACAAGCCCACATGCTGCTTCTGCGCGCCCAGATCGACCCCCACCTCTCTCTCACTCACCCCCTCCCTTTTCCCCCCCCCACCGTCCCAGGTGCTCTTCCCCTACGCTAAGGATCACGTGGGGCAGCACGTGCTCGACACCTTCGACTCCCCCGAGACCCAGGCCGACATGCTGCTGCTGCGCGCCCAAATTGATTACGACATAAAATCCTCTGTCCCCGGTCCGAACCTGTCCCCCCCTTGGAAGCTGGGAAGGAGGCGGTGGTGGGGTAGGGATGAGCAAGTGGCGAACACGAACGTGTTCGTGTTCGCCCCTACACGAACACCTTCGTTTGCCGAACCGAACACTGTTCGGTTCGGCGAACACTTTGAGCAAAAAATGGTGTTCGCCGTTCGCCTGTGAAGGCGTGTTCGGGCGAACCTCGAACACTGTTCGTGTTCGTCGCGGGCAAATTGCAGCAGCGGCCCGAACACGAACGTGTTCGGGCGAACATCGAACACTGTTCGGCGAACATTTTAAGCCAAAAAAAAATACCTGTTCGGTTCGCCTCGAACACGTTCGAGGCGAACCGAACAGGTGTTCGTGTTTTTGCTCAACCCTATGGTGGGGGCGCTTGAGAGGAACGCAGGGGCAGGGGCAAAGCACTTATAGCAACCTCTACTGCTCTATCTTTCCCATCCCAGGTCCTCTTCCCGTATGCCAAGGCACACGTGGGGCAGCATCTGCTTGACACCTTCAACACACCTGAAACTCAAGCAGACATGCTGCTGCTGCACGCTCAGATCGACGAAGACGTCAAATCCTCTGTCCCCGGCGCCGAACCTGTCCCACCCCTGGAGGCCGGGAAGGAGGCAGTGGTGGGGGCGGTGGAGCGGAACGTAGCGGTGATGATAGCGGCGGACAGGAAGGGAAACTCTTCTTCCATCCTCCCTTCTCCTCTCCCGCCCCCACCCCTCCCCCCCCCACCCCCACCAGGTGCTCTTCCCGTACGCTAAAAGCCACGTGGGGCAGCATCTGCTTGACACCTTCGACACACCTGAAACTCAAGCAGACATGCTGCTGCTGCGGGCACAGATCGAAGAAGACATAAAATCCTCTGTCCCCGGTGCCGAGCCCGTGCCACCCCTGGAGGCCGGGAAGGAGGCGGTGGTGGGGGCAGTGGAACGGAACGTGGCGGCGATGATAGCGGCGGATAGGAAGGTGACGGCGCTGAAGCAGCTGCAGGGGCATATCTGGCGGGGCGGGTACGAGAAGGGCGAGCTGAAAGGAGAGTTCTTCAGCGATGTGCTCACGGCGCTGACCCAGTGGCAAGCTGCTGGCTGCAAGGTGGGTTGTTTTCTGATCCCCGGTGTCCCAAAAGGTAGTGTTTGTGAGGTGCGGGAGGGGCCTTGGGCAAGGCAGCAGTCGAGAGGAACGTGGCGGCGATGATAGCGGCGGACAGGAAGGTGACGGCGCTGAAGCAGCTGCAGGGGCATATTTGGAGGGGCGGGTACGGGAAGGGCGAATTGAAAGGAGAGTTCTTCAGTGACATGTTCACTGCTCTCACCCAATGGCATGGTGCCTCATTCTCTGGTTTGTGTATCAGGGCTATATCTGTGTGACTTTTGAGAATTCTCATAAGTGGTTTTCCCATGCTTTTTTTCACCCCCGCCCCCCTCTTCCTCTCCCCCCCTCTATCAGATCTACATCTATTCGAGTGGCAGCAGGGAGGCGCAGCACCGCATCTTCTTTTGAGGCGCCTCAAAAGTCCTCTCCCCCCCTCCCTCCCCCCGCAACACCACCCCCCCCCCCTCCTCTTCCCCACTCCATATCAGATCTACATCTATTCGAGTGGCAGCAGGGAGGCGCAGCACCTCATCTTCGGCTATTCCAATGTGGGCGACCTGAGGCGCTTCATTAGTGGCTTCTTCGATACCACCACAGGGTCCGTTCACACATCCTACCGATGCCCGCATACTCTTACGCTAAAACTGTTTTCTCTTTCTTTCTTTGGTGATTCGGATGTCTGTGTGTTTTCTTGATTGTTTGTGCCTCGTTTTCACCCGTTCGATGGACCCCCCCTCTCCTCCTTCCTCTCCGCCTTCTTCTCCTTTCATTCTTTCCCCTTCCTTACCCACCCTCCCTCCCACCCTTCCCTTCACCCTCCCTCGTAACAGCCACAAGAGGGAGGCGCGTAGCTACTCGGAGATCGCTCTTACTCTGGGTGCTCACTCCCCATCAGACATCACCTTCTGCACCGACATTCTTGAAGAGGCTCAGGCCGCCAAGCAAGCAGGTGGGTGATAATAGGCAAGCAGATGGGCAGGGGTGGGTGTGCAGCTACTTGGAGATTGAGCTTTCTCTGGGTGCTGACTCCCCGTCACACAACACCTTCTTCACCGACGTTCTAGAGGAGGCACAGGCCGCCAAGCAAGCAGGTGAGTCGCGATCCTGTGTGCCCGCGTGCAGGTCAGCAACATTAGGCAGGTAGCTGTGCTGTGGCTCTCTCACATGACCAGTGGACGTCACCCGTGCATGCCCCCTCACGTCACACATCACCTTCTGCACCGACATCCTTGGGGAGGCACAGGCCGTTAAGCAAGCAGGTGAGAAGGGATGAGCGTGTATGCATGCAGACCTTAGTCGTTCCCCTCACTACCACTGGTCTCACCGTCACACATCACCTTCCGCACCGCCATCCTGGAGGAGGATCAGGCTGCCAAGCAAGCAGGTGAGCGGGATGGGCGTGTGTATGCGTGCAGGTGAATCGCAGGCAGGCAGTTGTGCCGTGTGACTTGTTACCACTGGTCTCACAGTCACACATCACCTTCTGCACCGCCATCCGTGAGGAGGCACAGGCAACAAAGCAAGCAGGTGAGTAGTTCAAACGAGCATGTACCTTAGGAGGATGCAGGGAAAATTTTAATGAATTTTATCCATGCGTGGTGCACAAATCCTTTTTTTACGAACTTTTTTTTTTTTTTTTTTTTTTTTTTTCTGCAGGCGGTGCTGCTCTCTCGCCCAGGCAACGGTGCCCTGCCTGCCGAACCTTGAGTCGACTCAAAATTCCCAACCCGCCTGTTCCATCCAACCCTCCCTCGCACCCACCCACCCACCCAACCACCCACAGGTCTGCAGGCGGTGCTGCTCTCTCGCCCGGGCAATGGCGCCCTGCCTGCGGACCCTGGCTTCCCTGTGCTCACCTCTCTCACCGACCTCTAGAGTGTTCTTCCACTATGAAGACTCTGCTGCCTTCCACAGCAGCTTATTAAAACGAGTTTTTGAGAGAGCGCTTCAAAGCGGCAGTTCGAAAATTGCTATTTTATAATGCTTGTTGACATGGCCTTCGGTAGGAAGTTTGCGCTGACGCAAATTAATATATGTTGTGAGCTTCCAAAAGCACAAGTTTACAACTTAACATGCTCAAGTGGGGTCTCTTGCTAAGGAACTATCCGCATGGGGTCCTAGCATCCAATATTCCTAACTGTGCAGATGGTATATATTAGATAATGCAGAAGGACTTGGAAGATACGGAAGGAGTTGTTTGGACTGAATAGATTTCCGTAATACAATACGTGAATAGAGACGGGACATCCGACTACAAACGCGAACAGATTACCATCGAGACTGACGATGCCGCGTGAACTAGCACAATGAACGTTCAGGTACTAAGTACCGATTCAGTTAGCAGATTCTGTCAGATTCACTATCTAATTCACAGCCTGGGTCCCGACAAGTACTATCTCCTTCTCACGCTTCGCCTGGCGGCGATTCGGAGGAAGGATGGACGGTCGAAATTCGCCTGACAGCGATCAGCTCTACGCGTCACTTGCGACCGACCGTGCTTCACGGGTGCCTGCATCTCGTGGCATCCTCTGCTTGCTGAGCCCTTTGCTGGCCCCTGTGCTGACCCCTTCCCGCCGCCTATCGACGAGGAATATGAGCAGTGAAGCACCTTTCTGGCACCTCCGTCCCGATCTTTTCCCTGGCGTTCCAGCGGGAATGACGCCTTTCGAACCACCATGACCCACCTTTTCCGACGGCCCTCGTCCCACTACCCTTCGGCCTTCGTCCCGTTTCGCTTCACGGCGCATGCGCGGCGAAACGGGACCATCCCAAGGGAGGACTGTCGCTGGAATAGCAGGCAGAGCAGATGATCGCTGCTACTACCACTCGCCGCGATTCGGGAATCACATTTTAAGAGCCTCCAGAATTGGTCTTTCCTACTGCTCAATGCGTTCGGGTTCGTTCGGATGCCTATTAGTGTAAACTGCGGAACTCCGCACCGCGCCAGCATAATCCATCCCACCGGAATTCAACCAGTTTTACCAGGCGCTCATTCCTGCTGACCAATCCCAGCTCACTCGTGGGTGGCCTAAATAACTCCATCAATCAAACGTTCAAGCTCACCATTCGCTCGCCGCGACACGAAACCCTTTTTTGAAAACGTCCATTCTCCGCTTCTCCGCCTCCCCATTCCGTATTCTCCCGAGAGGAAGCCTGAGAAAGAGACTCTCGGGTCTCGAGCCTCAGTGTATCGGATACTTTTTCCTCCTGCCTAGGTGGTGCAGCAGGATGGTTGCTGCGTTAAGCTTTCAACCGGAGAATGCTACACGGAGGATGAGGCTCTGCATTCAACGAAATCAGACGCTCTGCTTCAGTGGGCTTCTGCTGGGCCTCCTGTGGAACACTTGTCTCCTCTCATGCCGAGTCGGAGCAGTAGGAGTTTCTGGTGCTTGGCGAAGAAACCTGGCTGGACTGGCGAACAGAGGCGAATCCAGCTGGAGCAGGTGGTTACCAGGGGAGACGCTTGTAGAGTCAAGGGGAAGACCGAGATCCGAAGGGGTGAATGAGGAAGAGGCGAGGGGTAAAGTGATGGCGGCAAGAAAGGAAGGGATAGAGTCCAGGGGGGAAGGTATAGCAGCAAGAGGGGAAGGGATGGAGGCGAGGGGGGATGACGTAGTGGCGAGGTTAGAACGTGTAGGTCAGAAGCGGAGCAAAAGAGGGGGAGTGAGGAGGAAACTGGTGCTAGAGGCATCATCAGGCGCAGCGTGTGGGGAGGGCGGAGAGGCAGGCACAGGGGGGGCTGCGAGGGGCGAGAGGAGGGTGATAGAGGCGTGGAGGCCCGTCAAGGGGCGGTACCTGCTCGCGCTCTGCACCTACGGCCGCCTCTCCAACCAGGTGAGGCGGACTGACCAGGCGTCTCCTTACTCTCCCCTTCCCGTCATCCCCTCGTGTGTCACCATCCTCTCTCTCGCACCCGTTTTAGCCTCCAACCCCTTTTCCCCTTACCCTTTTTCCCCCGGGCCCCCCTTTCCCATCCTCCTTTCACCACCCTCTGGAAGCGTGTGAGCACAGCACATGTACGTACGTGGCCCTGGCAGCCCTATTGAACCGCACGATCATCATCCCACGGCACGGCTTTGCCATCTCAGTGGTGGCGGAGCGGAGTACTGGTGGGGCCATTATGAACGCCCTAATACATCCCTCCCTTCGACCTCCCTCTCCCCCTCCTTCCCTTCCCCCCACCCCCCTTTCTCCCACTCACCCCAACCAACAGGAAGCGTGCATGCACATGTATTTGGCCCTGGCAGCGCTCCTTAACCGAACGCTCATCATCCCGCGCCACGGCTTTGCCATCTCAGTGGTGGCGGAGTATCGCTGGCAGTGGGGCGTCATTGTGAACGTGCCCCACATGCGCTCCTGCCTCGTGCCGCACTACCCCTCACCCCTTCCTGCTGCTTCTACTGGCTCTCCTGGATCCGCTGCTGGGGCTGCTGCTGCTGCTGCTGCTGGCTCTGCTACTGCTGCTGGCAGTGGCGTTACCTCTGGCAACAGCAGTGGCAGTGATGGCGGCAGCAGTAGGGGAAGTGATGGCAGCAGCAGCAGCAGCGGTGATAGTAGTGAATGGAGCTGGCAGGCAGCCAATGGGGAGGTGCCGAGTGTGATCAGCCAGGACGAGTACGAGGCACTGGAGGGGCGCAACCTCACTGTGGACCGGATAGCGTGTGTTGTGCCACACACGTGCCTGAGCCACCCGCAGATGGTGAGTGTGCGTGCGTGTGCGTGTGTGTCTCTGTGTGTGTGTGTGTGTGTGTGTGCCAGTAACAGTACATGTCCATGCATGAACCCACGAGGCGTTGGAGAGGCGAGGCCTGACTGTCAACCAGATCGCATGTGTTGTGCTTCACACCTGCCTGAGCCACCCACAGATGGTGAGTGTGGCTGCGCGTGTGTGTGTCAGCCAGAGTCTGTTTCTCCCACCCGCACACGCTTAGTGTGCCTCTGCTGCCCGCAAATGCACCCATCTTTCCCCTATCCCTTTCCCGCTTCCCGTGCTTTATTCCTCGTTCTCCCCCTTCCTTCCCCTCCTCGTTCCTCCTCAACCAGGAGTTCAAGGCCCTACCTGACATCACCTTCACCTCGCACCTGGAGTACCTGCCTCTGCACTCGCACCACCTCGACATCTGCCGCGCGTGCTCACAAGCACCCATGCCACTCGTCCAACTCACTCCTCCCTTTCCTCCACCTTCCCCCCCCCAACCAGGTGTTCAAGGCCCTGCTGGACATATCCTTTGCCTCGCACCTGGAGTACCCCCCTCTCCACTCCCACCACCGCGAGCTATTGCACGTGCTCACACGCACTACCGCCACTTTTCAATCGCAATCGCAACTCATTCCTTCCTCCCATCTCTTCTCGCCTCCCCATGTGTCCAAGGCCCTGCCAGACATTACCTTTGCCTCGCACCTGGAGTACCCCCCTCTGCACTCCCACCACCTCGACGAGCTCCTGCACGTGCTTCCAAACGCAGACGCCACTCATCCAACTCATTCCTTCCTCCCCCCTTTTATTGGCCCCTCATGTCTCCCCCTCTCCCCAACCAGGTGTTCAAGGCCCTACCAGACATCAATTTCGCCTCGCACCTGGAGTACCCGCCTCTGCACACGCACCACCTCGACGAGCTCCTGCACGTGTTCTCCAGCACCGATGCAACAGGGCAGGTGGCTTCTGAGTGGACGCAAGAGGCACAGCAGCAAGGCATGAGGGAACCAGCAGCTGCGTCTGCTCTCGCTTCTTCTGCTTTACACCCCACTGCTACTCTTCTCCAACCACCCACCATGGCTGGGAATTACAGCAGCAACGCAACACTCTCACCTTCTTCCTCTTCCTCCTCTCCCCCCTCTCTCTCCTCCTCCTCACCCTCCTCCTCGCCCTCCACCTCTCTCCCCTACGCCGCAACGCCAGTGCTCTCCCTCGGTGATCTCAACGGGCTCACCCTTGCCGGTCTGCCCTTTGACATGTTCTCTCCTCACCCGCCCTTCCGCCTCTCCTGTGTCGACCTCTGGCTGCCCCCGCCACCGGTGGAGGGGCTCGTGACCGGATTTATAGACACCTTTCTGGGGGGAGACTACGCGGCAGTGCATCTCAGGAGGTGAGCTGTCAAGCACCTACACACCCACACACACACACTCGCCCTTGTGGTGCCGAGGTGACTTTTAAGTCAACTCAAAAGTCACCACACACTCGCCCTTGTGCTGCCGTGCACCTTAGAAGGTGAGCTGTCAGGCACATGTGCTCTGCTGTTCATTCGCCCCGCACCCGCCCTTCCGCCTCTCCTGCATCAACCGCACACCAGACCAAGAGGCTAGATCCATCAGATCTTCTCCTCATGGGGGTCGATGGTTGTAATAGGAGAGACTCACCCATTCCCCTTGCTCCTTCAGAGCTGACTTTTCCAGGGTGTACCACGGCACGCACCAGACCAAGAGCCATCCCGCCTTCCTGCCCATCATATCAGTGAGTCATAATCAGAGAATCTAAGCTCGCCTTCCCATCCACCTCTCCTCTCTGTCCACCCCGCCTTGCGTGCAGGTCGGATTTCGCCCGGGTGTACCGCCACGCACACCAAACCAAGAGCCATCCCGCCTTCCTGCCTATCGTGGCAGTGGGGCGATTCATTATGAGGCGCCTGGCTGATCGCAGCGTAACAGCTGTCTACCTCGCCACTGACGCCAGCCAGTACGAAGTGGAGCTGCTGGAGAGGCTTCTCATGGGTGAGCCGCCTGCTTCTGCTGTTGCTGTGGCCGCTACTGCCTCCCTCCCTCCGAATTTCGTCTTATTCATTTTTGCCTGAGAGGCTCCCGAGAGGCTCCTGAGAGCCTTGTGAGAGCCTTGTGAGAGGGTTGTGCTCGCCAGCCAATGCGAGGTGGCACTGCAGGAGAGGCTTCTCATGGGTGGGTGAGCCACCTGCGTCCCTCCTCTTCTCGTTTATTCAGTTTGCCCAGGAGGCGTTTGAGAGGGTTCTAGGTGCCTTTAGTTCGCCAGCCAGCCAGTACGAGGTGGCGCTGAGGGAGAGGCTTCTCATGGGTGAGCCGCCTGCTGCTGTTGTCGCTAAGAGGCTTTGAGAGGCTTTGAGAGCCTTCTGTTTGCCAGCCAGTGCGAGATGCAGCTGCTGGAGCGCCTTTTCCTGGGTGAGCCGCCTGCTGCTGCTGCTGCTGCTGCTAATGTCGCCTCTACTCACTCTCCCTCTCTCCTTTGCCCTCTCACATTGTTTTACCAGCTTCAGCCATCGCCCGTTGGGTAGCCCCGTGCTTGTGTTGTTGCTGTGCGTTTCTTCTAGTGAAGACTTGTCCAACTCTGACTCAATCCTTCCTGCTACCATCATCCCCTCTGATTCAGCCATGGCCCCTGGGAACACGGTGTGTCTGAGTGTACTATTAGGCGCCTCATAAGTCATCTGATTACCTGCGATTTTCCAGGAGATGCTTGCCTTTTATTTGGCTAAAAGCCCCCCCCCCCCCCATCTCACGCCATTGTCCCCTCTGCTGCGGCAGGCATGGCGCGCAGCAGTCCCCTCGTTGTGCTGTCTTTCGAGTCGACTCAAAGCTTCCAGAAAAACACTTGTGAATCAAGATTTCCCCCCCCCCCCAATACCACCATGGTCCCTCCCATCTAATGCAGGTATGGTGCCCGGCAGTAACTTTCGAGACTTCTCAGAAGTGAAACAAACAAAGGCCTGTGACTCAATGTTCCCCCTGGTTACCACCGTATTCCCTCCCTCCCATGTACTGCAGGCATGGCGCGCAGCAGTCCCCTCGTTGTCCTGTCTTTCGAGTCGACTCAAAGCTTCCAGAAAAAGCTTGTGACTCAACAACATTCCCCCGTCCGTACCGCCATGTTCCCTCTCATCCCATGCACTGCAGGAATGGCACCCGGCAGTCCCCTCATTGTGGTGCGACTGCCGGCCTTTGGCGCCACTTCGGATGAATACCAGCGCTTCCCGTGGGTCAAGGTAAACACACACATGCTGCGATTCATCAAGAGCCCCCCCAAACACTCCCCTCATTGTGGTGCGCCTCCCGGCCTTTGGCACCAACTCTGACGAGTACCAGCGCTTCCCATGGGCCAAGGTAGACACGACCCTCTAGTTGCACAGAGCACAGCGCTTCATGTGCTTTTCTTGTTTTTGGTTCCTCAGAGCACACCGCTCGTTATGGTGCGTGTGCCGGCCTTTGGAACTGCTTTCTGTGAATGCCAGCGCTTGCCGTGGGTCAAGGTTCATGCGGACAGGATGCCGGTAGGTAGTTGATTGATACCTAGTTTGCAAAGCACATCCTTATTCAAACCTGTTTCCCTCCCTTCTCCCCCTTTTCTTCCCCCTTCTTACCAATTGTCCCCCCTTCTTTTCCCCTTTTCCCCTTCTCACCTCTTCACCCCCTTTTTTCACTTTCTCCCCAGTTCCCCCCCTTTCTCCCCTCTTCTCCCTGTTTTCCCCCCATTCTTCCCCCTTCTCCTCCCTTCTCCCCCTTTTTCCCCACTTCTCCCCTTTTGTTCCCACTGCAACCCCATTCTCCCCCCTTCTTCCCCTTTCTCCCCCCTTCTCCCCCTTTCTCCCCCGTCCTATCCCTTTCTCCCACCTTCTCCCCATTTCCTCCCCCTTCTCCCCCCTTCTCCCCCCTTCTCCTCCCTTCTCCCCCCTTCTCCCCCCTTCTCCCCCTTCTCCCCCTTCTCCCCTTCTCCCCACATCTCCCCCCTTGTCCGCATCTGTGCAGACATTTCACGAGGCCGAGAGGGACATGGAGGGTGGTACAAACACCAACGGCATTGCGAGAGCGCTTGCAGAGAAGCACATATGCGCACGGGCGAAGCATTTCATCGGGACTCCTTACTCGTCCTATTCCAAAGACATCTTTCGCATGCGAGAGGTGCAGGGCTTGGCGTCTTGCGCTGATGCTTATATTGAAGCAATTTAGACTGATAGCGAGCTGATGACATGCATTGGTGCTAGGTCGAGTAGAATAAGAGCTAGAGACTATGCTGCATTGGTATCTCTAGGTCGTAAGCTAGAGTGAGCCAGACTGCTGATTTGCAATCACTTTCACTTCTAAAATGAGGAACTAACATGCCCACTGCAAATAAATTAGAAGAACAAAGTAGGTTTCTATACGTATCGTACCGTATAGTGCATTTCTCAGGTCTTTAGACGAAGAATACAACTCCTACCCAACCCCTTTGGATGTGAGCTGCGGGGAGGGGAGTTGCTGCTGTGGTTTCAGTGAGGCGGAGACATATCATATCTACATTTCAGTTTTCTCACTAAAGGGAGCACCTTTAGAGGATATACTGTCTTTGTATTCCTAGGCAGAGCACCTTAGACTTATCGTATCTACATTCTAATCTAGCTGCTGTTGGGAGTTGGGTTAGTCTTATAGACAATCTTAATAGGCTGAAAGCGGATGTGCTTGAAACGCGGTCACGGAGGCGAGTCAGTTCAGACTTCTGTTGCTGCAACTGAGAGTTTCAGTACACGAAAATGCACCTGAACTCTCTCGGCTACGAATTAGATTCCCCATTTCTTCGCTGGCTGTAGTTACACATACGTATCTGATACTCCATCAAGCAGGCAGCCCGGACATCGCGGCAGTACAATTACCTCGATAACCTGCGCCCCGTGGTCCGGTTTTTGTCCTCGTGCGAGCTGCGACGGCGAATCTCCAGGCCGGAAAATGTTAGCTGGTGGCTACAGGCGGAGTGACCCACTGGAGGACAACCACGCCCCTACTAGAATCATTCCACCTAGCAGTACTACAAGAGGACGCTCGTTCAGAACTTTGCGGAGGTGTGATGCGGCCGTTACAGGTGATACTCCGTCAACTCTCCTCCCCAAGCTTGTTCATCTCCAGAAAGGAAAGCCTCTACTAGTGACCTTTCTGTCTCCGAATCGCCGCAGCTGTAACACCTCGCTACCCACTGGGTCAAAACGAGGGTGTTATTTGGCGCAGCGGAGTGACAAAGTTTGAAGAAAGAAAGAGGGGGTTGAACTAGCAAGAATGAGGATACAAATAGCAAACTTTAGAAGGGTTGTACTCGCTATAGAGCACCCCACTACAGGCTAGAACATAAGATAATATTCTGACACACCCCCATAGCCAAAGTGGGGTGTAATCAGCAGAGCAGGCAAAGCAATACAAGCTCAGGGTGGATCACAATGTCACCACACATTCTGAGCACTAGTTCAAGAAGAAATAGTTTAGAGTTCACAGTTATGAGCAAAGCTAGTGGTAGTCACAACGGGCAAGTGAGGAGGAGGAGGGAGTGTGAGGGGAGAGGAGATAGGAGGCGACGGCTGAAGCTGCAGACACACGGGCAACAGGAGGCAGACTGGCACAGCGGCTACCGGACAGCGCCCGGACTACAGGAGTAACAGGCCCCGCGGCTCAAGTAGCGGCAGACGGGCAACGGACCCACGGGCGGCTGGCGTAGAAGTCTAGCTCACTGGGCTACCGGGACAGCGCCCCGGACTACAGGTGCTGCTGACGACAAACTGGCAACCTCCGCTCATCCTCCCGCACACAGTCCCACCCCCCTGATACACACCCGCTGCTACACCGCTAGCTCCACTCCCACGCACCCCCCTTAAACCCTAAACCCCAGTCTCCCACACAACCACCCCCCTCAGCGACAGCTGCAGCAGTGGGAGACGAAGGAGGAGGAGGAGCAAAGGGAGGAAAGCACACCGGCCACCCCCATACCCGCCACCCCTCAGGTCGCCACGACAGACGACGGGAAATGGGGGGGGGGAGGAGGGGGGGGGGGGGGGGGTGTGGAAACAAAGAACGAGAATGAATGACTATGAAGTGAAGTGAATACAAATAGGAAACCCTAATGTGTTGTACCCCCTATGGGATACCCCACTATAGCCTACACAAACAAGTAAGCTATATGTTCTGACACACCCCCATAGGCAAAGTGGGGGAGAACAAGGGGTCACAAGACCAGTCAAGCAAAGCAAAGCAAAGCTCAGGGTGGATCACAAAGTCACCACGCATTCCGAGCACAAGTTCAAAGGCCACAAGGCCAGTTCACATGCAAGATCATATATAGAGATATACAAGAGCAAGAGTATATATATGCGAAGTTAGAAGCAAGGTCAAGAGGAGAGCAAGTGAGGCAAGACAGGCACAAGACCCAACTGCGTGCAGCAACGCTGATGATCACAAGGCGCAAGTGCCTTGGTGAAGACATCAGCAGTGTTGGCCTCAGAGGCCACGTACGCAAGTCGTAGCTGTCCACGCTGCTGTAGCTCACGAGCAAGAAAGTAGCGAAGAGCAATGTGCTTCGTTCTGTGCTCCAGTCGCTGCTCTCGACACAAGGCCAGCATGGCCTTGTTGTCTACGTACAGGACTGGAGGAGAACGAGGCTGCTCTCCAAGGTCGGTCAGCAGGTAGGTGAGCCAGCGTAACTCCTGTGCAGCCATAGCCCCAGCGTAGATCTCAGCCTCACAACTGGAGCCGAGAACAGAAGACGAGCGGGTAGCCCGCCACGAGACAGAGCCGGAACCAAGGCTGAAGGTGTAACCCTGTGACGACCGCTGCGTAGCCTGGTCGTCAGCCCAAGAAGCGTCTGCGTGCCCAGTGAGGACCACTGGACTGCGCCCTCCAAGCACTAGCCCCATGCCCGACGTACTGCACAAGTAGCGCAATACCCTCTTCGCTGCAGCCATGTGCTCTGGTCGGTGTCTCCCAGGAGCAACAAAGCGTGCAAGAATGCTAAGAGGGTATGCGAGGTCAGGTCGTGTGCAGGTCATCAGGTACATGAGGCAGCCAACAAGCTCTGCAAACGGGCCACTCGACTCTACGGACTCATCCGAAGGCAGAGCTGAGAGCGAGTGGCGAGTAGACAGAGGAGTGGCCTGAGGCGAGGAGTACGTGAAGCCGAAGCGCTGAAGGACCTGCTGCACCATGTGTGACTGAGTCAGGATAATGGTGCGGCGTGCTCTATCACGGGTGATCTGCAAGCCAAGGTAGCTGCGCAGTTCACCCAGGTCAGTGCACGTGTGTCTCTTCTGCAGCTCGAACTTCACGTAGGCGAGTCCAGCAGTGTCAGCTGTGGCAAAGACCAAGTCGTCGACGTACACGAGGATGTAGAACGACGGCAGAGAGGTGTCGGTGCGCAGAAACAGCGACGGGTCGGCAGTGGAAGGAGCAAACCCAAGTGCCGCGAGCGTAGTCCTCAGTGTGTCGTGCCACTCACGTGGCGCCTGGCGGAGACCGTAGACTGGACGCCGGAGACTCCACTGGGTACCAGGAGGGAAAGACCCAGTGAAGCCAGGTGGGCGACGCAGCCAGATCTCCTCGTGCAGGCTGCCCTGCAAGAAAGCTGTGCTGAAGTCGAGAGAGTGGAGCTCGTAGTCACGGTGAGCAGCAACGTGCAGCAGAACCCGAAGAGTGGTCATCTTCGGGGTGGGGGAGAAGGTCTGAAAGTAGTCAACCCCCTGCCGCTGACTGAAGCCATGAGCCACGTAACGCGCCTTGAAGACAGGCGGAGAACCCGGCGGCCGCTTCACCCTGAAAATCCACATGCCACTGACGATGTTCGCCCCAGGAGGGGGGACAGCGTCAACGTAGGTGCCTGTGGACTTCCAGGAAGCCATCTCTGCATCCATAGCTGCCTGCCACTGAGAGGAGTAGGGACCCTCTATCGCCTCCGCGTAAGAGCGCGGAGTCGGGATGTCTGGTGCATCCGGGTCTCCCTCAGGGGCTAGCAGTACAGACGCGAGACGAGGTGAAGCGGCGGCCAGACACTGGAACTCCTCCTACCTGTCCTCAAGGACGTCCGTGCCAAGGGCACACTCACCCCCGATGGACGGAGGACAGGCGGACTCAGACTCAGTGACAAGACGAGCAGCGTAGTCTAGACGACAGCGCGCAGCAAAGTCGACAAGCTCAGTGACAAGGGCAGACGCAGCAGACGACTCGAAGGAGGGGTCAGTGACAGCAGTAGCCAGGAGACGCGTGACAGTAGGACTGGCAGCACGAAGAGAGTCCGACTCCGGGTCGGCAAGAGCAGGAAGAGAGGAAGCAGGAGGAGAAGGCAAAGGGGCACGCAGAGGAGCAGTGGACGGACGCAGAGACATCCGGTGTGTGCCAGGGACAGGAGGAGGACGCTGACGCGACCCGCGACCACTAGCGCGCTCAGTACAAACAGGCGACACAGGACGAGACGCAGGCTCACGACGCTCAGTAAGACCTCCAGTCGGACCAGCGTAGGGAGAAGGAGCAGGCAAAGGGGAGGCAGGCTGTAGCTGTGGCTGTGACCGGACAGGCTGCGGACCCTCTAAGGGAGGAGGAGGAGGTGTAAGACCAAGAACCTGCTGCAGGAGCGGAACGAAGTACGGTCGGGGCCGCGCGGCGACGCTAGAAACAGCAGGAACAGCACCAGCAGCCCCGGCAGGTGCACCCACTCCAGCAGCACCTCCAGCAGCACCACCAGAAGCTCCAGAACCTCCAGCCGCAGCACCAGGAGCACTGTCAGTCGGACCGCCAACGGCAGGCTCAGCGCCAACACCCTCAGCAGGACCAGCTCCAGGAGAACTCTCAGACTCAGCAGCTCCAGCACCCACAGTACGAGCACCGGCGGGGCGCGCAGCAGCAGTACCCTCTGCAACCGAAGAACCACCAGCACCAGCAGCACGCCTCCAGCGCCTGGCAAACCACTCACGCAGCTCCTGTGGGGAGAGTGGCTCCAGGCGAGACGAAGCACCCCCAGGCACAGCACCTCCAGGCTCAGCACCCCTAGATACAGCACCCCCAGGCACAGCACCCCCAGGCTCAGCACCCCCAGGCTCAGCACCCCCAGGCTCAGCACCTCCAGGCTCAGCACCCCCAGGCACAGCACCCCCAGACTCGGCACCTCCAGGCTCAGCACCCCCAGGCTCGGCACCTCCAGGCTCAGCACCCCCAGGCTCGGCACC